CTAGGCTATATATATCTAGGCTATATATATCAAGACATGGCAAATATGGATACAGCAGTTGATTATTTAAAATAAAAATAGATACTAAGCGAGGGTTAGGCACGAGAAGACACTCATGGGCCTAAAATCTACGGAAATGATTCGAGGCCCACATCGGTCGATGTATTCAGAAGGTCTGAAAGCAAGATCATAATTACTATGTTAATAGTCAATGTACGCAATGGACCGGGTACTTGAAGATGAACTTTGAAACTAATCCTAGTGTATACTGACCATTTACGTATAAAAATTGCTAAAAATCGAAGAATTGTAATTATAATACAGAAATATTTTAAATAATATGTTAAAATAATGCATTTGTTAGCAAGCCGGATGAAGCCTCATGATAACGATATACCTCGTTGTTCAAAACACGTAAACAAGTTTGAGAACAAATTTTATTTTTCATTTCTATACAGAGGAAATAAAACCGCATATACAAGTTTGTAAATTGATAAAAACCGCATTCTTTATTTTGCATGAAATATTTTATCATGTGTGGTTTGTACTAATAAAAACAGAAAATATATTATTTTATTCTAGAATTTACGCTGCGATATCTGAGAGTATAAATATTCGAATTTAGTATGAATTGACATAGTATTACTGGCGCCCTTAGACGAACTAATATATTGTGTTTAGTGCAGTAAGTGAATAAAATTTGAGGTAAGTTATTTTTTTTTTTTGTAGTAAATATAATTTTATTTCTTTTAACATGTTCATTTAATATGCATTAACAGAATAGCGCAATATTTTACTGTTTATTTCCCATTTCTAATTGTGATTTATACGTGTTTTTCTAAATTGTATGGGGCACCTCATATTTTTAATTGATTTACGTTGTTTTTCGAAAATAGCGGCTTTTCTCTCTCACATTTTTATAATACTTTTTCTTTTTGGAAAAATAATGCTAAATATATTATCAAGAGCTATATTTTATCTTCTTACGCTTAATAGGCATTGCATACTATATTTTTTTTTATCTATGACACTTAGGTAATGCCTTGATTAATTTTTAAATATGCGTTGTATACTACATTGTATCTATGAGAGGTAGGATGGTGCTGTGGGAGAAGAAAATATCTACCATGAGCTGCCTTTTAATTGATTTATTAAAGTGTAAATGTGTACAATCTTTTATATAATTATTCTCTCTGAAATATGTGATCTTCTTAATGTATGGTTTATTCAATGATATCCAAGTGTCGTAATTCAGCGATAAGTTTCATTGCTTCGTGGCTACTTAATGCATCTGGCATGAGTTTAAGTCCCTCTACTAGGAAATTTGGATCGTTGTTTTCATTATAGAGGAGCCATAGTTTGTTCAAGTCCTCATGTAGCTGTCCAGTTTCTGGTCTCTGATTTGTTTTTGACTCGTTTTTGGCTGTGCTGCTTTCCAAATACTGTGTTGTTGTTTTCGCTTCAATGTTTTCATTTGAACTTTTCTTTAGCCGTCCCATGTCTTTAGTTGATAAACAATGTCTTGACGAGGGTTGTCTTCTTTTTCTTCTTTCTTTCTCAACATACATGGGTTTGATAATTGTTCTAAATTTTTCTGGGGACGCTTGATGTCTCAAATATCCTCGGGAATCTCGATGAATACCTGTGACTTCTAATATTTTTTTATAGTTAATGCAATCGTTTGGTGTAAAGTCTCGCGGTTTCTTGTAAAATATTAAGTTATATAATCCATTAGTAGCTTTATACTGATTATTGTTAACCCATATATGTTTAGGAGTAAATTTTATCTCCTTATCACCCATTACCCATTTATCAGTTGTCCAAACATACTGTGGTCCATAACTTCTGTCGATATCTGGCGAATAATGCCAATATTTTTGAAGGTGATCTGATCTCTCTTCATCCTTCTGCTGTGTATTGTTTTGATGGTCGCTAGTGTCTTCATGCTTCTTCGATTGATGGAGAGTTTTCTGATAATTGTCGCTAGTGTCTTCATGCTTATCCGATTGATGTGTAGGTTTCATATAATTGTTTATTTGTGTGAGAGGTTCAGTTATAGGTGTCAAAATTGTTTCGAGCTGTTCTTGCTGATCACTCTGCATTCTTTTTAGAGCTTGGTACTTTTTTCTAATAATATTAGCCAGCTGCGTAATACGTTGTTCTCTGTTCGAAATCATGCGACTTAATGCTCATTCTCTAGTTAAGAGCGCTATTTACAGTCGGTTACTAGAGGCTGACAATAGGCTGACTACAGGCTTACTTGACGCTGACATGACGCTGACTAGACGCTGACTACTGGCTTACTTGGTCCTCACAGGACGATGAGTACACTGACAGGACACTGACTGAATGCTGAGTACAGGCTGAGTTGTCTCGCACAGGACGATGACAATGCAGAGGTCGTATGCGTACAGTCAGACTTGATCCTAACAGGACTTAGACGACTCTGACTAGACACTAACTCGATGATGACTGTGCGATGTGTGGTTTCACATAAATCTAAGACACAAAGTGATGGTTTATAAATATATGTTCAATACGGTTCTGGCAACATATTTCTGTTGGTGACTCTCGTAACTTCTGTTTTCTTTAGCGCATATACCTGTGATGATCTCTTTTTACCTCTGTTCATTTCGGTGTTATCTGCTGTGTCGTTCTTCTGTGGTTTAAAAGCGTAATATAAAGCTATTTTGTTTTCTGCTGTCCTGTGCTTACGTCTATGGTTGTTTATAAATGTGTCTTTGCAGTATCCTTTGCTGTTATTTGTCCTGAAGTTTTTCTATGCCGTAAAAACGCTACGTACAGCTCCGTTGTTACCTGATGTGTCGTTCTCCCGTAAGATAAGTAACCAGGTTAAGTTAGACTATGGTGTTTTAGTTATATGTACCTACACCATTCTAATTAGCACAGAGTATCTTGTACGTTCTAGTAAATTTTTTATAGTTGGTAGTATTGCTTCTTTTTATGTTGACTCTACTGATACTATCTTGCTTAGTTCGTATAAGTTATTCGACACCTTATACGTAGCAGACGTACCAGTATTATCTTTAAATATGTGAAAAAACCCCATGTTTCTTGATCTCTCTCTCTCTCTCTCTCGAGGGCGATGCGGAAAATTTCAGTAAAAATATATTTTAAAAATTTACATGTTTGAATATACGAGGTGTCACAAAAAATAGTGGTTATAAGGCACCTCTCTAACCAATGAGCGTGACTGGGGTTTCTTAGGGTAATGTACATAAATAACGTCAAAACACGGTAATGAACTTAACTAGGAAAACTTTGAAAATAAAACACTGAGCAAATTAACATAATTTATTAATAATATAATATTATACATAGTGTATTTCACCATTACGAATATATCCTCTTCTGATTTTGGGTTTTGAATTGAGGTCTTCCTGCGTATTTTTTTCTATAAATTTGGTATGTTTTATGGCGTTGTTTACTACAGCGTACCCTTTATCATCATCATCATCATGAACTTGTATGTTATCCGTATAAAGAGGAAATGGCGGTATTAACTTATTCACTTGAGCATTAAGAAACTTAGTTGCTTGTCGGTTTTTTCGTTTACGTTTAGAAATGAACAACGGTCTAATGATTGACTCAAATTTGCGGATGTCACCCCTGTGACGTAATCTTCCTTTACAGTCCCTATGTACCCCACTAAACTCAAGTAACTGTTTATATATTGACAAATCATTTGGCGTATATTTCTGAGGTTTCTTGTAAAATATAAGATTATATAAACCATTGGTGGAGTTGAAAGTTTTATCATCAATCTGTATATGGCCATCCCTAAATATTATTTCTTTTTCGCCAAGTAACCACCTTGAAGTTCTCCAATCATACTTAACACCATATGCTAGATCAATGTCTTGAGAATTTTGCCAATATTTTTGAAAGTAGATGTTATGAGTATTCTCCATTTCTCTAAAGACTTTACTGCTTGATATGTTGTTTACTAGTCGGCAGCCTATGACCAAGTGATTGATATTCTACCGAAACTTTAATTTATATGCTACCCAGACAGACTATAGACGAACACCGACGAACATACGACGAACATAAGACGAACACGCGACGAGCATACAACGAACACGTGACGAGCAGCTAACACGCATCAATGCAAAGACTGTCTAACTTTACAAAATTATAAAGACATCGGCATCAATACGAGAATATCGTAATTCGTCAATTATTTCTTTGGCTTCTTCACTGTTTAAGGTACCAATCCCCGCGTGAATCCTAAGGCCTTCTACTAGTGTATTAGGATCATTATCTTCGTTATAGAGCCTGCATATCTCGTCTAAGGTAATATCTACCATCCACTGGTCGATTGTTCCGTGTCTCGTCAATTCTTGAGGGATATTCATCAAGAATGTTATGTGGTTTTCTTCTTCTTTTTATACAGCGACGTCTTCACGTAAAAAAACGTCGCGTCTTCACGTAAAAACGTCACGTCTTCACGTAAAACGTCACGTCTTCACGTAAAACGTCACGTCTTTACGTAAAACGTCGCGTTTTCACGTAAAAACGTCGCGTCTTCACGTAAAAAACGTCGCGTCTTCACGTAAAAACGTCGCGTCTTCACGTAAAAACGTAGCGTCTTCACGTAAAAACGTCACGTCTTCACGTAAAAACGTCGCGTCTTCACGTAAAACGTCACGTCTTCACGTAAAACGTCACGTCTTCACGTAAAACGTCACGTCTTCACGTAAAAAACGTCGCGTCTTCACGTAAAAACGACGCGTCGACGTTTCTAATCGAAGCTATTGTATTTGACGTAACATTTACGACTCTAACCTAACATACGCGCCATTTCTGAATCTAACTTAACCGCATACGTCACGCCACATACGTGCCGTGGTGTATGTGGCTTCTGCTACCCTCTGCTACCCTCTGTTACGATCAGCGGTTATATAAGCATGTTTTATGCTGTAACAGAGGGTAAGTGTTATATTCGTAAATAAAAATACATATCTTTTTTTTAAATTTTAATTATACACAGATACAAGTTTAGATAACAAAGTTTTTAATTGATATAAGATGTTTTCGTTAGGACATGGTACTCCAAATAGATTCCAGCTAAATTGTCCTCCCGCTACAACTTTTCTAGTAAATTCATTAAATTTATAGTAAGTATTTTGACGGAAAAAGTAAATATGGCCATCAATCCATCGAAGTGCAAGAGAAATATCTTCAGGTATTCCCGGAAATATGTCTTTTATCCAGCCTCTTCTTACCTCGCTAGTAAAATCATTAGAAAATTCTATATATGACATATTGTTGTAAAATGTATAGGATTGCCCGGAATTTGATTGAAAAATAGCATTGATGTGGGCCTTCTTGGGTATATTAAGTGTAAAATTATCAATATATTGAATGCTAGGAAAGGATGCTGAGAAATAATTGTTTGGTGGCACAATTGTAACCAAATCACCGGCTGTTGTTTGAAAAATGTGTTGTAAAGTGTATTGACGTAATTCTGCAGGAACATAATCAGCAAGAAGTTCAGGCTGAGATGGAATAATCATTTCGTTCAAGTCTAGTTTCCATATAAATTTATCGCGGGCGATATATAATCGGTAATTTGAAAACTCTGGAGCAGTGGCTAAAAACATAAAATCTGGAACAATATCACACAAATTTTTCGGTTGCTTACTAGGCATTAGTCTTGTCGAACTAGTTGTTGTAAACTTTGGGTTTGGAGCATAGTTCGGTTGCTTACTAGGCCTTGGTCTTGTCGAACTAGTTGTTGGTCTTGACGTTGTCGAACTAGTTGTTGTTGGTGTATGTACCGTTGTATACCTTGAGAGGGTCGTTTGCTTACGAGTTGTTGTTGTTGTTGAGCTAGTTGTTGTAAACTTTGGGTTTGGAGCATAGGTATTGTTAGGCCCATATAGATATTGTATTGCGTTTATATCATCCTTATGTAGACCACTAATCTTATGCTGATACATACTATACATGACAGCACTTTGTGTTCCACTATGACCGATTCCAAGAGCATGCCCAATTTCATGAACCAGTACCATAAGAAAACTTATACGGCCTTCAGGTATAGAGTCGTTTCCATAATGCCAGGGCTTCGTTATATCTAAATGTATCTCTGTACAGGTGTCTGCGGGATGAGGAAAGTATGAATGTCCTAAAGCAGCACCTCCAACAAATCTAGTAGGACATTCGGCATCTCCCATACAATTTGCTCTAAAATGATGAGTTCCCCTAACCATAGTTATGGTTATATCTGGTGGCTCTAGCGTAGGATTTGTAACCATTGTGAATGTTAAGGTTGAAACATTTTGCCACGTCTGAAATGCCATTTCTGCGTCTTTTTGGGCCTTGGGCGTTCTTTGAGGAAAATACCATCGCAGGTGTTGTTTGTGCCATGGAGAAGCCACTATAAATTCGTTATCACTGTGTTGACAACGCGGACGACGCATCAATTTGATTGTTGCATTATTAAGCAAACCATCCACTGGTAAATTATACTTTTCTTGAAAGTTAATTATCAAAGTAGAGAAATCTGTACTATTATCGATCTGTTCATATTGATTTAGATAGGCAATAGCGTCTTTTTCCGAGAAATCATTGCAAAACACGCTTGCGAACGTTAGCATAAAAACTAGTACGTCTATTCCCTTCAACATCTTGACTGAGAATGATTTTAAAATATTAAGTAGCATGTATATAACCTAGTATCTTTTTTAAAACTATTTAGTCAGTAAGCTACTAGGGCCATCTAGTTGCGATACTTTAAACAAAGAATTAAAAATATTACATTTTCTACTTTTGTTATAATATTGCTAAGATATAAATTATTTTCATCTTAAATTGGCTTAGTCATATAGACGCGAATATACCAAATGTGTATGCATTCAACGATGAATCACCGGTTGGACATTTCCTTTTAACACATCTCCCACGATATATAGCCGGAAACACGTGCACTTTGGAATTCTAGTTAATGTGAGATAAAATATATTCACACGAATGCCGGAAACAGCAACATATTGCGCAACATGGTTTAAGCGTGAGTTACGTCATAACAGCCTGCCTATTTAATGAACGAATACGTTTCACGAAAACCAGTCTGCAGTCAACATCTGCAAAAGTAACAGTGGGTGCTTTGTGTGTTAACCTTAGCGATAAGGTGTTTGTGTTTGGGGTACAAAAATTAAAAAACGTAAGTACTATTTTATATATTTTCATAAAACATTTTCTTCGTAGAGTATGGGTCAACAAGGGGTTGTAAAAAAAAATGTTTTTACGTAACTCCAGTAGAGATTCCGGAGCCTCCTCAAAATATGCTACCGTTGATCTGTTTTTCTTAAAATCATTGATAAATGTCAACCATTTTTCTGTCTTCATCACTTTTACACATGACCATTCCTTTTTTTCATAGTAAATTTGATGTGATGAGGTAGATGATGATTTGTAATTGCTTCTGCTGGATCGTATATTATTTCATTATGAACATTCCAGAAATATGGTGTGATTGTAACTCCGTTTGAGTAAAACTTTGTACCTACTACGACCTTTGTTGTTATTCCATATTGGTTTGCGACTTCATGCAATATTAAACTAGCCGGTAAACAAGCACCTACGCAGTTGGCCCGAATAAATTCTTGATCGATACCTGCTTTAAGCAAGTTTAACTGAATGTAGTGTTTTATAGGGTTGGCCATACTGGAGCAATTAATGTGACTGGTCTAGCCGACGGTTGAATTAAGAATGAACGGTATTATTTAATGTTATTAATTGTGTTAGTAATGAGAGTGGTTGTTATGCTCTGATTCGCCATATTAAGTAAATTTTACATGAAAATCGTGTACTTTATGCTTATTGTACATGTGTTTATAAATACATGTTCGTCCCATAATTTTACCACAAATTTCACACTGTACTGGTCTTCTATCGTATTTATACTGCCATTTCTTAAATTCTTTATAATCTGACCAAGATTTACTGTTGAACGGTATCCATTTTCCCTGATTTTCGCCTGATGTTATTAAACATTTATCGCATTGTTTTGCTTCATTCATACATACACCGCACCTCAACATTTTTTTGGTTGAGTCGACCGACACCTTGAACAAACTAATGCAGAATGAGCTGCCAGAAAAGTTGCAATTGTTTATCACTTAAAGTTGATGGTTCTTGATAATTACCCCCACCACTTTGATAAAAAAAAAATTACCCCCACCACTTTGAATACTACCATACAACCAGAAATATACTTAATACCCTGCATAACGTTATTTTTTCATTCTATTTCAGAACCTCATAGTGTTCAGACGTGTGCTGTGGTGAGCGTTAAATTTTGAAAAGTTTTGAAATTTTTATAAATATTTTTGAATTTGTTTTTAAAATTTTGAGTTTTTGAAAAATTTATTTTTACTACTGTTGTCTGATTTGGTCCATATTTTTTCGATTTATATAGCGAATTATGGAAAAATTTTTAGTCACTAAAGATACTGTTAAGAAAATCCGTAAATTTGGTGTACAGGGACGAACTCTGGAATTTAAAATCAGGGACGTACCTCAAGGTGAAGAACCTGTTGGCTGGGTTAAGAACGCTATCGTGGATATTGTACATAAAGGTACAGAGAATATTCAACCTCATGATCAGGTAGGGTTTACGTTTTGCTCCAAGGACTTCGCTAGAGGTCAGGGTTGGATGAGGTTCAAGCCTGCCTCGGAAGTTGCTGTTGATGATATATGGGATAAAATTTCCTCTATATATCAGTCAAACTCTACAGGGTTGAATACTGAAACCTTCTGTCTCGGTATTACAACTGTAAAGATGCCTTTGGGGAGGGGCAGTCCGAGAGTAAAGAACTACAACTCGTTCAACGAAGAGTGTTCTAAACGTCGGGGAATCGTTGTTATCAAAAACAATGATAACCTTTGCCTTCCTCGTGCTCTTGTGGTTGCTAAAGCTTACGTGGATAAAGACCCTGAGCTCGTAAAAATACGTAAAGATATTAAAAAAAAACAACGAGAAAGGGCGGTACAGTTACTAGATAGGTCTGGTGTTGTTTTACCCGACGACGGAGCAGGTATTCAGGAATTACAACAATTTCAGTCTTTCCTAAAGGATTATAACCTCGTGGTCTATAGTTATGGACGTAAGGGTCGAGATGTCATTTTCGAGGGTGTTGGTGAAGGGCCCAGACTTAATCTTTTATTTCATGAAGGACATTACAATGTCATCACTTCTTTGACCGCTGCATTTGTATGTGTGTATTATTGTGAGGAGTGCCATCAACCTTTTAACAATAAAAACGAACATAGATGTGGTGGTACGTGTTTTGCTTGTCGACGGTCACCTGCTTGTTCCAAACATGTTGTGAAAATTCCTTGTGAGAAATGTGGCCGAAGCTTCTACGGTGAGACATGTTTCAATGCTCATATTGGTTCGGTGTGTGATAAAATCAAAAGGTGCAAGGAGTGTTACAAAATCTACACCAAAAAACATGTTTGTGGTGAGGTTTTCTGCAAAACATGTAAAAAGAGTTGTCCATCAGGGCATCTCTGTTATATGCAGCCTGATTCCGGTGCTCCTCCATCAAAAGATTTTCTTTTTATTTTCTATGATCTGGAAACTCGTCAAGAAAAAGTTTTGTCTGATGGTTCGCTTCTTCAAGAACCAAATCTCTGTGTTTTTAAACAGGTATGTGACAAATGTTTAGAATCTGATAACAAAATTTGCAAAAAATGCGGTGTTCGCTTACATATTCTAAAACAAAATTCTATTGAACGTTTTGTAGAGTTTGTGCTTAATCAACGTAAACTTTTTAAAAGAGTCGTTGTTATGGCCCATAATGGTGGTGGCTTCGATCATCAATTTATACTCAATTACATCCTCACAAAAACCGATTTGACCCCTGACGTCATTATGCGTGGTACGAAGCTAGTGTCTATGAGTGTTGGTAATGTTCGGTTTCTCGATTCTTTAAACTATTTTCCTATGCCCCTGTCTGGTCTACCTGAATCTTTTGGCTTGATAGAGTTAAAGAAAGGGTACTTTCCTCATCTGTTTAACAGAGAGGAAAACCAATCTTATGTTGGAGCTATGCCTGATTTACAATTCTATGATCCCAATAATTTGAAGGAAAAAGCACGTGGTGAGTTGATGACGTGGCACGCTGAAAGAGTAAATGAGGGCTATGTCTTTGATTTCCAAAAGGAGCTCGTTGAATATTGTATATCTGATGTTGAAATTCTGACTCAGGCTTGTCTTATTTTTAGGAATCAATTGATCGAAACGTCAAATGTTTGTCCTTTCATGGAAGCTACAACTGTTGCTTCCACCTGCAATAAAGTATTCAGGCGCAACTTTCTACAGCCAAACACTATAGGTCTCATTCCTAAGGGCGGCTATCGTTTTAAAGATAATCACTCTAAAATAGCGTTGCAGTGGTTGTTGTGGGAAGAGAAACAGAGGGGTATTTCAATTCATCACGCAGCCAGGGGTTTGGAATCTCTTATTGGAAATTGCAGGGTAGATGGTCTTTACGAAAACATCATTTTTGAATTCCAAGGTTGTTATTATCACGGTTGCCCTACTTGTTACCCTGAAAACAGAACATCTCCTCTTCATGATGATCCTTCAGATTGTATGGAGAATCGTTATGATAAAACTGTTGCCAAAAACCAACATTTGCGTTCTCTGGGATATGAACTGGTTGAAATGTGGGAGTGTGCTTTCCGCAAAATGTTGACGGCCGAAATAAAATCATATACCGATGGTCACTCCCTCATGACAACTCTTCCTCTAAATCCTAGAGATGCGCTGTATGGTGGTCGTACAGGCAATACCGTGGAATATTACAAGTGTAAGGAGGGTGAAAAGATCAAGTACGTCGATGTTTGCTCACTTTATCCCTGGGTCTGCAAAAGGGGGAGGTTTCCAACTAATCACCCTAAAGTGTATGTCGGGGATGAATGTCAAGGTGTTGATATTTCCGCTGTGTCTGGTTTAATTAAGTGTAAGATATTACCGCCTACTAATCTTTATCACCCTGTTCTTCCTGCAAAGATGAACAGTAAGTGTATGTTTGTGTTATGTCGTAAATGTGGTGAGGACTTTATTCAAGGAGAATGTGAGCATTCTGACGAAGAGAGGGCTCTCACTGGAACGTGGGTTGCGGAAGAGGTGGTCAAAGCGTTATCGAAAGGATATAAGATGCTAGAGATATATGAGATATGGAGTTATGACACAATTCAGCTGTCGAACACTGAAAAAGGTTTGTTCTCCGATATGATGAACAAATTCATCAAAATCAAACAGCAGGCTTCAGGGTGGCCCCGCGGATGTGTGTCGGACGAGGAAAAGAATCGATACATCGCGGAGTTTCTCCAGAGGGAAGATGTTAGACTGGAATTTTCCGAAATAACGGAGAATCCTGGTCTTAGGAATTTGGCTAAGCTGATGTTGAATTCGTTCTGGGGAAAGTTTGCGCAGCGAGAAAATCTTCCTAAAACCGCGATTGTCAACAAACCTGGAGTATTCTTCTCTATGCTGGTCAATCCTTCCATTCATGTTAACACAGTTGTTCCTGTAAATGAGGAAACACTGATTGTTACGTGGGAATATGTGGAGGAAGCAGCTTCTATGTCTCCCACAGTAAATGTGGTACTTGCTTCATATGTCACAGCTTTGGCTCGTCTCAAACTATATTCTTATCTGGAGATTGCTGAGGACAGGGCTTTGTATTACGATACAGATTCATGTATTTATGTTTCCAGAGCGGCATTTTCTGACCTGCTTACTGGGGAATGTATCGGTGATCTTACTGACGAGCTAAAAGGTGGACATATTTCAGAGTTCGTTTCTGGAGGGCCTAAAAATTACGCATATAAATACACTCTTCCTGATGGTAAAGAACATATTTGTTGTAAAGTTAAAGGTTTTTCCATAAATTATGAGGCTTCTAAAGTAGTAAATTTCGATACCATTAAAAAGATGGTACTTCAGAAGTCCGATTCTGTCTCTATACTAACTAAACAAATCAGACGAACAGCAGAGCATCTAGTTGTTACGAAAACTCTTGGAAAAAAATATAAACCAAATTCAACAAAGAGAAAATTTTTTGATGATTTTACATCCATACCTTTCGGCTTTAAAAAACTCAAAGTATAAAATATAGAACACGCTATGTTTAAAGATTTTTTATTAATATATTACTTTTGTTTTTTTGTTTTCAGCAGCGTAATTTGTTTTCCTCTATTTTATGATACAAAGATTGTCTGCCACACCGAAAAGGTGGGTTGCTATAAAGCTGTAGTGAGTTGTCGTTTGTCCTATCTACCTAAAAAGATACTTTGTCAGATCGTCAAAAGATGTTCAGTCAAGGCCACTAAAAGACATCCAATACGGATCATGTATTAGATAATGAACGGCTCATTTAACCTTAGTATTAACTACAGTTACACTTTAATAAATATAATATAAATAATGTTAATAAAAAAGATGCCCGACGAATCAATAAAAGATACCTACTGAATCATACAGTTTTATATACCTTAAAAGATGTTCAGTTAAGGTCATTAAAAGATATCCGTCACAGGTCTCATTGTATTTTGATAAAATGTAATATAAATAATGTTAATAAAAGATACCTGACGCATCAATAAAAAGATACCTGCTGAACCATATAGTTTTATATAGTTTAAAAAGATGTTCAGTTAAGGTCACTAAAAGATATTCGATACGGGTCATAGAGTGGTTAATGAGCCTTTCATTTAACCCTCGTATTATGTGCTCTTGTTCTTTGATAAAATGTAGTATAAAATGTTAATAAAAGATGCCTATTGAACCACTTTCCTATATTTTTAAAATGTATCAAAAAAAAATATATTTTTTTGTATTTTTATAACATTACAGTTTTGCTCGTCTAATGTGTGGTAGTTTATCTTGAATCAACATCAGATTTAAATGATTCCTCTGACAAAATTTAGTGGTTGTAGGCCTTTTGGGACGGTGTCCACGTTAAAAAAAAAAACACCAACGAGCCACGTGTTGTACCTCCTGGGTGGTTTGGAAATCAACACCTTCAATATTTTCTTTGATCCAAAAATATTACCGTCATTCTCTTTTTCTTCACAGTAATATGTCACCTACCTCGTCAAATTAAACTTTTAGACACTATATGATGTTGTGTTACTTTTTTTATTTTTTCTAATTATTCTCCTCGCTTTTTCTCTTTACAACGATATGTCCACTATTAGATCTTTATAGCACTTTTTATACTTTATCATAAGCTTTTAGCGTTGCCAATTACCCTATATAATTTGAATCTTCTATCTCAAAATATACCTGCTACACTTTAGAGCTGAATATGTGGTGGTCCTCTTGGAGTATAAAACGGACGGTCGACTTTATCCCGCACGGATGCACGAATGTGTACCTTTACGAAGGGAGTTGTACATAAACCTATAAGTTGATCGTAATCCATATCTGCAAAGTATGTTGTCGACTTGGGTTAGTATATACAGTGCATTCCGTATGTTTTATAAACATGATCAGGGGAAATTGTTGCCTGATGGCTATCAAAGAACCGTCTACGACCAACAGATATTCTTACCGGAGACCTATGTTCAATATAAGTTTTTAATTCATGTTTGACGTAGATAAAATATAGTGTGCAACTCTTTACGGTTAACTTTCAGCATTGAAACATTACAGGTTTGATATGCGCCAAATAGAACTGTGTCAATAAAATCAAATTTACCTTGTACATGTATTTTTCATCCTTGGTGCCCTATCTCTCTCTTATATGTAACTATACGTTATATTAATAACGAAGATACTGTGTAGTGCTCTTTTGGCAGTGTCTGTTTTTCTATCTTAATATATTCGCTATCCCCTTTCATTTAATGCGTCACACGCTCCAATCGATCCAGTAACAACGGTGATATGCCCTTTCGCTATACTGCTATCTTCGTTTTTTCTATATCGTTATAATCTATTCGCTAAATACGTCTCTTTATATTAAGGCTTTTAGACACTATAAAAAAGAAGAATTGCATTAAAATGAATTGACAGTTGACGCTGACAGAAGAAGATTTGACAGATGGAAAAGAAGAAGAGTTAAGACGTGACAAATAATTTGACATATGGTTCGGGTCTTGGCTAATCTGTTCCGGTCTTGGCTAAGTCGGCCGGTAATGCAGATCCAATGCTTACCGACATTGGCGCCATGTCTGTCTGGCTGTCTGGCCCAACCGACCCATACTCTGCTTACAAAACACTTATACAGCCAGTGTTGACATATGGATCAGAGACATGGACCATCTCCAAGGCAGACGAAGACCTTTTGCTTATATTTGAACGAAGGATCCTGAGAGGAATATTTGGTGGCATCTGTGAAAATGGTGTTTGGAGGAGGAGATACAACTACGAGGTATACCACAGATATAAACAAATATTTGGTGGTAAAGACATAGTATCTCTTATAAGAATAGGAAGATTAAGATGGGCAGGACATCTAGCAAGATCACAGCAGAACTACCCTCCTAGAAGAATCCTTATGTCACAACCCGTGGGAAGCAGAAAAAGGGGTAGGCCAAAACTCAGATGGAAGGATGGTATAGATGAGGATGGTAGAAAGATAGGCGCAGCAAACTGGCAACGGTTGGCAATGGATAGGACTGCCTGGCGTAATAGACTTGGGAAGGTCGAGGCTCTTTCATAGGGCTGTAGCACCATTGATGGTGATGATGTCGAATTCTTTTATCAGAAAATATATGAAAGCACCAACGAAAGGCAAGATCAGTCCCTGTCCAAAATCACAAACCAGGGATCAGAATTAATGCCAGAAATAACTTCATACGAAATCAAAACAGCACTATTAAAAATTAAAAATAAATCTCCTGGCGATGACGAAGTAGTGATCGAAGCGATTAAACTAGGTGAAAATAAAATTATCTAGGCTTTGACCAAGCTTTTCACCGTATGCATCTACCAAAGGAAAAACTTCTTCTCAATGGAACAATGCAGTCATTATTTTATTACATAAGCAAGAAGACATAACAGATCTAAAGAACTACCATCCTATCAGTTTACTGTCACACTTTTCACAAAAATTAAAAAAAAAAAAGGATGCTAAGTTAGACTTCTTTCAGCCTAGAGAACAAGCTGGATTTAGATCGGGATACAGTACTAACGACCACTTACTAGTGATACAGAATCTGACAGAGAAGTCTGTAGAATACAACAAACCATTGGCACTGATATTTGCCGAATACGAGAATGGATTCGATACCATAAGCCGAATACCAAATAGACCATCGCTACACTAACATAATCAAATATGTCTACCAAAATGACGGAGCTAGCGTAAGACTATCTAAACAAGAAACAAATAAATTATGTATACAGAGAGGAGTACGGCAAGGAGACACTGTCTAAGTTATTAAAGATGCTTTTAGAACATACTTCACATCTGAACGGGAATGGTATCCAGATAAATGGAAAGCAGCTCAGTCATTTGAGATTTGCAGATGACATCGTCCTTATAGCCGATCGTAAGGATTCTTATTAAACAAACGAAATTCAGTAGAAACAGGCCAAATAATTATGTAATCAGATAGATCAAACTAAAATACGACAGAAGGGAAATGAGTACAGAAAAGTCTTAAGAAAAGAATTTGTAGAACATTATCAACAAGAATATCCCGACATAAACACAAATAATAAAGAAATGCAACGAAAGCTCTTGAAATCAGGACTAACTGTTGCAAAGAAAACGAAAAATAAAGAAGACAGAATAAATGATGAAACAAAATGGTTGATGAAAAATAGACGCACATTTCAGAGTTTCAAAGTCACGCATAGTTGTTGGCAACCTTACCGAGACCTGACAAGATATTTTAAAGTAATAGAAGAAAAACACAATGGAATTTATCGCTCAAATACACATAAATCAAAGACAAATTTAATTGCCTTTTATCTTTGGCAGAATTATTAGAAGCAAAATAAGATTACTTTTTATAGCTCAGAGGTAAAGAACAAATATATTCTTATCAGATAATGAAAAGCTAACATAACTGATTGATACATTTTAAATAAAAATTAAATTTTGTTAACGGCGCAGATAGATGAAATGTATAAAATAAAATCTCAAACTTACCCTAACTCCATGATGTAACTGTAATTACTACCTGAGTACAAAACTAAAAGATTTAAAAGTAATAATTAAGAATCTCAATATTATCTTATCTCAAGTGTCAAGAATCTCTCGATTATACCTATTGAAAATTGTATAAAGGTTTTTTCTATTTTTATTGTTTTTAATATTACACATATTGCTACAAATTAAACACTGATATGGTACTCGTTTGTTCTTATATACACAAAGATGACTACAATACAAATTCAGTCTATAAAAGTGTTTAACGTGGTAATGTTATAAATTTCAATAAAATAAAAATATACGAACTATTTCAACTAACTTATACTTAAACCGTGTTACTTATTATCCGCAAAATCTCTCTTACATAGTGATTCAAATTATTTAACAAGTAAACACTAGTATCTAATTACAACAGAACTATTTGTGGAGATCAGATCAAACTGCGACTGTGGACATGCCAGTTAATACAATTGTCACCTGGTAGAGGAGTATGAGCTAAGGAATAATCTGGTAGTCCAATGGATATCTTCGTTCCAACGTTCTTATGTCTTGAGTGTATCTAATTTTAATCCTTCTACTTATTTCTTAAGCCTTTGTCAAGGTCTAGTGGCACTATAAATATTTTTAGCTTGGTGTTCCCATTGGCTTGAATCATGTTCCAGATGGACGGCTTCGTGTAGAGATTTTACCACCGGAGTATTTATTTCGTCTGTCTGTCGTGTTGGGGATTTTTTGTTCTTCGATCTCTTACCTTTCCTTCTATTACCAATAGTTTCAGAGTGCCTGTTTTTCTGGCTATGCTGAAGTAAATTAGGTATGTTCAGTTTACATTTTTTTATAGCCTGTATTTTATATGAAGCTCTTCCAGAATTGACAGATTGGTTTTGTGTTCTGTCCAGGACACGCGTAAAATTCTTCTGTAGATTCACATTTTGAAGCCCTCTATCTTATTTCTATCGATTTTTGTTAGAGTCATCTAAGAGATATATTTCTTATTAACCCTTTCGCTCATGATTTTTTTAAACTCAGCCTAAAAATTTGAAATTTTGAATATTGGTTACTTGAATTTATTTAAGATTTATGGAGTTTATTCCAAGTCAAAAAGTATTTCCATTTTTGAAAAATAGCATGTCCACACATGAGGACATTGTGAGATAACGGGGTAAAAAGACTGTGCGTTAGAGAAAAAATAAATAATGAGAACAATGATAATATTTATTCAATGCACATTATACATGATTTATATACTGTGGTACTCCACAAAACAATTGTTAATATTGGGCAAACATAAATGAACTTTGCATTTGAGGCAAGATGTACGAGATTTTCCCTTGCATCCGGGTTTCTTGCAACGCGAAGCATTTTTCAATTTATCAATAGAAGGTAAATGTCCCACATTGTCCAATCTTACTTCCTTCACTGGACGTACTTCAATGTTTTTTCTTTTAGGTGTTTTTGGTTCAGGCCTTATCGAAAGCGGTCGTCCTCTTTTTTTATTGACTGTTTTTTCTATAGCTAAAAGAACTTCAGCAATTTCTGCGCGAAAGTGCACCAAATCTAAGATTCTTTGCTTTGGTATTTGCAAATTTGTTGCTTGCCTACTATATTCTAGCCATGCATTTGTACAGGCTAAATCTATACCATGTGTGAACATCCGCAATGTCCATTTACGTGACCTAATAAAGGTCCTGTACAATGTTAGTAAGAAATTGAATTTGTCAACACCTCCCATTGACAAATTGTAATCCTTTATTACCTGTGGTCTATTTATTTCTATATAGGTCTTGTTTGTTTTGTCCCATCGTTTACACTTGTCGATCGTCCCAATTCCTATATAATTAGATGCCATTATTACAGGTTTGTTATCATACCACTTTGTCATGATTACCTCCCCATCGTTGCTGATTATTTCTTCTGCACTACCACGTCCATGGTTTTTCATTACTTTATCAGCAGAGAAGCTAGGGCTACTGAATCTATTTTGCCGTGTAGTACAAACGGCAAAGATATTTTTTTGGCGCAGAATTTGTAACAACCAATAACTAGAGAAATAATTATCAAAATAGACTTTGCAATTATCCTCTGTGATGCGATCACACAGCTTCAAAACGACAGCTGCGCCTTGTCCGAAAACTGTCATTTGTGTTTGATACAATTCCGTTTTAGCTCCCTGATAAATTATAAAATCGAACATCTGCCCACTTGCACCGCAAATTGCAAATATTTTTATTCCCCATGGATTTGGTTTGTTTTTTATATATTGCTTCACATTGAGTGATCCTTTGAACGGCACTATTTGTTCATCAATTGACAGATTTTTCTCCAATGGAAGTGACAGCAAACGGGCGCGTATTGTTTCGTACAAAGGACGAACTTTCCAAAACCTATCCTGATGCTGATCCAAATATAGGTTATATTTACCTACTCTAGAAGAACCCGTTTACTCACAGAGTCCACAAGTGAGGACGTCACTTTTCAGTAAAAATACAAAGCCAAAAGTCAATTTATTCCACTTACAACTACGTATTCCACAAAAATGCACCTTTTCGAACATATAATAATTTTTACAACATGTGGGTGAGTCACCTAGTCTAAAAATAAATTACTGTTCTTTGCGCGGTATAGCTGTCTGCACAGTGGCCAGAATCTTACTAAAACTTTTCCGATCGTTTCTTCTACTTGCCAACAGATGGGGTCTAGTGCATGAATAAGGAATATTTAGAGGTCCCTTAACGTGGACAACATGACCAAACAGTCATACTCTTATAATTTCGTACAACTGAGCGCGTAGAAATGTATGTCCACATTTGTGGACGCCGTGAGTGAAAGGGTTAAGAGGAGCTACCGGCATTGTTGGTTATTAGAGAGCCTAAGTGTACAAATTTGTCTATCACTTCAAAATTCGCTACTTGGTATATGTATGGTATATTATTATTTACCCTATCTACGATCCCTATGTTTGTCCCGTGTTGACCTGAAGTTGAAATTATTTCCTTCTTATCCGGCTCAGCCGTTTTTTTTGTGTGTGTTTTGGCTTGGACAATTGTCAATCAAGATAAGTTTATTAATGTAGTGTGTGTGTGTGTGTGTGTGTGTGTGTGTGTGTGTGTGTGTGTGTTTGTGTGTGTAGAGTAATTGTCTTGATACTTAGCAAAGTCGACGTCATTGTCTTTGCTAAGAGACACTAATTGTATCCGAACGTCTGCGGTCCCTCCGGTGAGTACCGATCACACAAGGATAGAAATTATTTTCATTTATTAATTTTTTTAATAAACGAAAATTTCCACCCAGGTGAGATTCGAACTCACGACCTTTAGGTTTAAAGGCAGGCGCTCTTACCACTGAGCCACAGCGGGGGGGCTCAACCGTTTGGTGATGATTGATGGTGATGGTATTGCTGCTATAATTGCAACTTAAAATAATACGGTGTGCGTATGTCAGCGATTTTATGTCGTTCTATGACTACATAATGATAATAGGGCTTTGTGGTTTTTTAGTAGTTATTCTGAGTTTACAGTTAAATGTTAATTGAAAATGGAAATTCAAAAATTAAGCTAAAGGAATATCTTTGACATCCGTGCAAAAGAGAGTGCCTGAGAGTTTTGGCAACACTGATCTCCATAAGCGTAATGTTATTTTCTTAACTGTGATACGCAAATGGCACACTTATACTATACTTTGTTTTAAGTGTAGTGTTTGTAGCACTATTTCTTTTAATTGTTTTACATGGTAACATGGTGTACATCTACACTTCTTCCTTAATTTTATTGATTAGTCTGAGCATAATCTATAACTAATGGTTTTGTATTTTAATACAGGTAGTTTTCGAAAATAATTTTCTTTCATACACATACTCGTAAAATTTTTCAATATTTCCAGAATCTATTCTGATTTTTCTAACCCGTAATGGTATTCCTCTGAAATAGGTACAGTAAAGAAAGATTCCAATAGAAATGTAATAATAAAAATTCTTTGCGAAACTAAAAAAATATTTATTCTATATTTAGTGTTTTAAGTCATCTATTCTTGTATAAATATTATGTATTTATCTTTATGTCTAAATATAAATCTAAATATATATTAAATAAATTACCCTGAAAATCTAAACTTGAAAAATGTTGACGTTTTTTTTAAAGCATCAACAGATTCAAAGTTACTCTTATAATAATCTAAATTAAAAGACCGAGAAGCCGAATTTGACATGTAGATTAGAGGCTGATAGCCAACTCTTTGTTCTGTTCCAATTATCCTACAAAACCTCGTTATTTATCATCTACCAATCACTGTTCTACATAGATAACATCTTTGTTGACCCTCTTAGTACTTCATTAGTTTTTTTTTTTTGTCCAAGCTATCTTTAGCATGCGTCTATGAATTCACATTTCTAATTCTTCAATTTTGTTCATACTTGATACTTTTAGAGTCTACACTTCTACTCCATACAAAAGTACAGACCAAATATAGCACTTAACCAATCTTTATCTAAGTTCTAAATTGAGATGATTATTGCAAAGGAATGTCTTTATTTTTCTATTCTGCGTTTATTTTAAAGCCAATTTCCTCTCCTAGACAGAATTTAAAGACAGAACAGAATTTTAAATTCTGCGCTTTATTGAATGCCTCTTCCAAGTCCACGAAACATGCAAATACATCTTTTTTTGATCACGCTATTTTTGTAATAAGATATGTATCACAAAAAGTGAATCCCTGGTTCCCATAGCATTTCTTCAATCAAATTGGGTACTTCAATGCTCCCAACCTAAAAATAAAGTTCTTTACTGTTCAAGTTGATGGTAGCGTACAAATACTGATATCGGCCGTCGTTATGCAAATACTAAACATATGATAATTTTGGAATAAGCTACGCGCAATTTTTATAATTGGGCCAACAAGAACTCCCAAATAGCTGTCTTTTAGCATATATATTTGTGTCAATTCATTTGGTTGGCTATTTCTGTACATTTTTCTCTCAATTGTACATGCAATTTTGCTTCCGACATAAGCAACCAGTCATCTCCTTTATTCGGTGGGACTATAGCCATGGTTATTTCACTCTGGATTCGAGAAAAGGAGGGCGTAATACCTAGGCTAAATATAGTTGCACAGTGCCATTTGTTTTTGGTGTTTCCCCACTTGTAATAAAAAATGCACGCTGTCACTTCAAAGATTACTGGCATGTGCCGGTACTTTATTTGTTTTGTTTTAATAAATATCTCTTAATATATCTTAATAATACAATTATTTTAAAATCCTTGAAAGTATTTTTTACAAAATTTCCCAAGTTTTAGACATCAGTAATAAGTATAGATAGTTAGCAAATATTTCGGATAAACATCAAACGACTATGTAATACTTGATTATCACCAGAGATAAAGTCGACATTCTTTAGATTTAGATATTTCAGGGTGATGTAGGTATATACATAGTGCAAATAATTGTTATAAAATTAAGCTGTGTCATGTGTAGTCTTCTCTTTGTTATCTTTACTTCTTCCTATGTACAGCCATCCTTTCTTAAAGTATTCTGAAACTTCACTTAATTTCTTTCCCTTAGTTTCTGGTAAGAAGAAATAAGTATAAACCGCTGCAGTAACGCAAAGGATTGAGAACATCCATTGCAAGTGTGCCACACCACCCAAAATCTCTATCAACCAATAGTAGCTTTGAAGAGAACCAAACATGAACAGCATGTTGATACTATATGCTGAAATAAAAAAAGGTAATAGGTATCATCTTAATAAATAATAAATTTAGTTAACAGGTAAATTCAAAAATTTATATATTTTTAAATTAAGGCTAGTGACATAAAGATTATCTGATTTGGAAAAAATTTATTGTATTGCAAATGAATGAAATGCATATAAAATAAACTTTTAGACTAAAAAAATGGTAATTTGGTAGGATTTGCACAAAATGATCAAACTAATTTCTTCAATTTTTGGAAACACGAAGTAAGTTGTATCATTTCAACATGATAAAAATATGACAGGGAGATGAATTGCACAAAATGATTAGAAATTCAAAGTATGTTTTCAAAATTAACAGCAAATTCAGCCAACAAACATTATTTTAATGTAAGTATTCGCTGTGAGTTTCGCCGGTAGCGCTCTCTCGCGGTTTGAAACTTGTACTTTTCTTGTAAAATCGGTGTAAGTTAAATATGACAAAACGAGAAAAATAGATATTTATCTAAAAATACAAAATTATGAACTCGAATATTATTGTAAACTGATTACTGAACGAATACACAGAATTAATAGTAAAAGTAATTACGCCTTTTTATTTTATTCATTTTAATTATAATATTTAAGATATAAGTTCCTGCAACTGGATGACTACTTACGCAAGAGGCCATTGACAAAAAGAAGAGAGTCTTTCCTTGTTTAATAAATCAAATTTAGTAGGGTTATGTTATTGTTTGTCCCAACTGTCACATGAAAGCTTATTTATATTAAGTTTTTTAAAAATTGTGTCACATTTTAGGCTGTTCTCGTTAATATTTATTTAAAGTTTCTCGTCTAAGACACATTCTAAACACTATTTTATAGCTATACTGTTAATAAGTGTCGGAAAATTTAAATTAGGCTTTTTTGATCTCCTTTTCATAACGATTAGATTTCCTCTTTTGTCTTTTTGCTCGATGCCTTTACCTCTGTAACATTGTAATTCTTGTTTTCATTTTGCATTTTCATTCTGTTTTTGCTCGGTTATTTTTTGTATGCTTAGTCCTTAGTGCTTAGATATCAATTTTTATTAATTTTATCAAAATGGATATTAAACATTATACTGGTTTTAAGTCTATATCATATGATATCCCATTTCAACCAGCTACACCAAAAAAGAGGAAAGATTTAGTTGATGCAGGGCATGTACGCAATGTTTCGGAATATAATAGCTTTTTTATTTTACACCATAGAAATATCATGTTTGTATTATATTTCCATTGTTCTCTTTGAAATGAATAAAATTTACAATCACTGTTATACCCAGTATTTTTACATGTATCATATCTTTTTCTTTTTGAAAAATCCATATTCGCCATTATTTGAATGTTTACAAGTTAAATGCACAAAACTGCCACTAACAGCGTTGGTGAAAACTGTCAAATCCCCTCTACTCATCGGCTCACAATGAATGGGTTACCCCACATTTGTAATGTTTGATACTGTGCGATATAAGAAATTATTGGATAAATTAGAAGAACTTTATGAAAACTTTTATACTGCTTGGTTTTCATTTTCACGATAAAATTAAAAAAGCAATTTTTTTGGATGTCAGAAATTTTGCAAATTACATCGGTAAGTTTTTATGTGACAAGCAACACATATTGGTCGACTGTTTTACGTTTTAAAGAAATTGGTCGGTAAAGAAATATCGCTTTTAAAGATGTCTTTTAGGCTGCCCATGCTAGGTTCATTCTTTTTCGTAGTTTGCATGTTTAGTGTATCTTGTTATCGTTTTGGTTTTAGAGATGTTTATTTTACGACGCATACTGGCAAACACGAACTGAAGTTCATGTAGCATTATACATATCTCCTTGAGGTTGTCCGAGAACAAAAATATGTCGTCTGCGAATTTAAAATTTGTTAATCTTCTACCGTCGATGTTCAGGCCTTTCTCTTCCCAATACAGTGTTTTACAAGCATATTCTAGTACTGCGGTTAACAGTTTAGGTGATCAGGTATATTGATATAAGGTTGAATGCTCGAATAAATGAACTTTGATCAAATGAAAGGCAGATATCGAACACAGTCTTATTAATTAAATCTTTCCCAAGTACTTTCGCTTCCTAGAGCATCTTCAGTGGCATTTCGTTAATTTTGGCCTATCTAACAATCACAGAATGTCTTAAACATAAAATTGTACATAACACTACATTACACAATGACAAACAGTTTAAAATTATTTTAAAATAGGCGAAGCTACATAATGGTCGGCAACAGGAGAGAGAATGAAGAGTCATTTATACCAAAAGTTAATTTTAATTAAAATCGTCAAAGAATATTTATATCAGAAAAAAGATAAACATTATTTTAGTTTAGAGATATGTAATCGACCTCAAACTAAAGTTGTTATTAAGTAATGTTATACTTACTCGGTTCTCTCTTCCCAGTCCGAATTGTCTAGTCAATTTAGTAATTATCATGGCCGTATAAACATAGATGGATACAGCAATAAGATACCTTTAACACAGAATGTTTTGAAGCTTCGATAGAATGTGATGCTTCCGCAATGAGCATAAGCGTGCTTGAATTATTACTCGCGGGTAATTATTCAGATTTTAAAAATTGGAAGTAGTAATAATGTATAAAAACACGTTCAAAGAATTAAAAAAAAACGAGAGTTTAACTATTAACAAATCACGTCATTATAGAAAAATTAAAATACAATTTTATTTGCTTTAAAATTAATACAATTTAATATAGTTGAATTCAAGTTAATTTTTTAATAGGTATCAAAATAATGCTACAATAAAAAATCTTTATGTTTTCTCCTAAATTTGCTACCCAAATAGTTCGATCGTCAATATTATTTGGAAACCTACATAGAAAAATAAATGAGTTTTATTCATTTCACTAATTTATTTGTATCCATGAGAAATATTAAATTAAAAAGGTACTAAACAGATATTTTTTAATCAGATGATGTCTACTTACAATTTAAAAATGTCTACTAATTTCATTAACTCATATCTTATTTTTAATACATTAATGAACATGAATAAACCCAATGGTACGCCTATTAAAATGTAAACAAACACGCTTCCTCATTTCCTCATCTTAAATAATGTAAATTGTATGTACTTACAAATGAAATGAGAGATCGGGATGTAAATATTTCGTTTATTTTATTTCAATTTTCACAAATATCACTCAAAATACAGCCAAAATATCGAAAAATAACTTTTCCTCAATACTGTAAAAAGTAAACAAACATGGAACAGCATTTGAAGTTTGACGTAGATCCATAAGACAGAGAAATGTAAACAACCGTTGCCATTTATAAATAGTTTTCAGTGCTTCTACATATAAAATAATTGATTGATATCTATTATACGCTATTATTAAATTTATTTAAATTATTAAATGATAATGCACACTTGATATTTTGATTACAATTAAATATATTAATCTAACCAATAAATTATTATTTTGGTTTGATAGCACCTGTAGAGTATAAAATACGGAGTAATATTTTCAGCGACTCGCGAATAAGAAATTTTAAAATAAAACGTGACAACAGTTGAAGGTGCTGAGAATGTGACCTATTCAAATAATTTTGACTTCACAAGTTTATGTAAATAACTGAGTCCATCTGTGTTTATACGTCCATGGTAATTATTTTTTTGCTAAGTTAGTTACTTTTTGACAGACTAAAAGTGGCTGGAAATTACTATACAACCAAGCACACTTACTCATAGCCAATATTAATAGTAAACAAACTAAATAGTAAATAAAATCGAACTTTACAAATTACCGACAATCAATATTTCTTTATCTGCACCATATAATAAATAGTTGTTAAATTATAACAACTTAAATATATTTTTTAAATATATACTACCCAAAAAATTATGGGTTTAGTATACACTTCCACTATTTAAAAATAATTCTTCTTTTTTCAAAGAAAGAAGTCTGCAATAAAAGTATATTTATCAAGGTAGAATCTATGGAGAGTGATTAAAAACGACCTCACTTCGGTCATATTGTTAATATTGTTTTGACACTTTTGACAAATCGTATATGTTTGTTTACGTTTGTTGTTTTTCGAATATTTTTAGTTTTATAATACTTTTATAGAAACTGTAATAATATATTGTGATAGGGAATATAGTAATGGTTTCTTGTTCTCAACGTAGTTGCAGTAGCAGAAGCAATGTTAATAAAAAATCTTCAGGAATATCGTTCCACACGTTAGAATACAAATAAACAAAGTAATAGCCCGTACTTCAGAGATAAAAATTAATAGTATTTGACTGTATTAATTTATCTTTATGTATAATATATCGTGTTTTTAGTGTTTACCACGAGATAAATAAATCATAGTTTATTAAAAATGTATTGCACTTTTTAAGTTATGATTAAATCTTCTAAATAACTAGTCATATTCTTATAGTAGTTTTAATATTATTGAGTCCGGCCATGATCCCACCGCCATATTGGTATTATCTTTAGCCACGCCTACCTACGCCGGTTTTAATACACACGTTTATATGCTGATAGCTTCTCCATAGATTCTAACTCGATGAGTATACTTCAGCTATTAATACTGAGAAGTAGTAATTGTTGTGTTGTAGGTTTCCGACAATGAATCTGTCAAAATATGCCCGAGCTAAGCGAATGGAGTGTACCTATTTTAGCTAATATTTTTATTAATAATTGTACTAAATAGATTTAAGATAAAAGACAATCTGACAAAAGCCAAACCAAAGACAAAAGTAATATAAAAAGAACGACTTATACAAAAAATATACTAAAATATACAAACCGATGGTGTATCCTACGCCTCTGATTTCCAAAGGAAAGAGTTCAGAAATTAGCATAAATGGTAAAAACATTAGACCCAGCACTGAACACACAACGTACATTAACAACGAGGTTACTGGTACCCATGTTGCCGTCGAAACACCTAAAAAAGTTTATTATTATCATTAAAAAAATCGAATTTGTTTGAATTTATTTTATCCTAATACAGAATCTTGTGGACTGTACAGACCAACTTTTTAGAACTATGAACTTTGTAATTGTTAAAATATATGGACGTACAAACATAGATGGACACAGCAATAAGATACCTTTAACACACAATGTTTTGAAGCTTCCATAGAATGTGATGCTTCCGCAATGAGCATAAGCGTGCTTGAATTTGTACTCGCGGGTAATTATTCAGATTTTAAAAATTGGAAGTAGTAATAATGTATAAAAACACGTTCAAAGAATTTAAAAAAACGAGAGTTTAACTATTAACAAATCACGTCTTTAAAGAAAAATTAAAATACAATTTTATTTGCTTTAAAATTAATACAATTAAATATAGTTGAATTCAAGTTAATTTTTTATTAGTATCAAAATAATGCTACAATAAAAAATCTTTATGTTTTCTCCTAAATTTGCTACCCAAATAGTTCGATCGTCAATATTATTTGGAAACCTACATAGAAAAATAAATGAGTTTTATTCATTTCACTAATTTATTTGTATCCATGAGAAATATTAAATTAAAAAGGTACTAAACAGATCTTTTGTAATCAGATGATGTCTACTTACAATTTAAAAATGTCTACTAATTTCATGAACTTATATCTTATTCAATACATTAATGAACATGAATAAACCAATGGTACGCCTATTAAAATGTAAACAAACACGCTTCCTCATTTCCTCATCTTAAATAATGTAAATTGTATGTACTTACAAATGAAATGAGAGATCGGGATGTAAATATTTCGTTTATTTTATTTCACTTTCACAAATATCACTCAAAATACAGCCAAAATATCGAAAAACAACTTTTACTAAAAAGTAAACAAACATAGAACAGCATTTGAAGTTTGACGTAGATCCATAAGACAGAGAAATGTAAACAACCGTTGCCATTTATAAATAGTTTTCAGTGCTTCTACATATAAAATAATTGATTGATATCTATTATACGCTATTATTAAATGATAATGCACACTATGTGCACACTTTATATTTTGATTACAATTAAATATATTAATCTAACCAATAAATTATTATTTTGGTTTGATAGCACCTGTAGAGTATAAAATACGGAGTAATATTTTCAGCGACTCGCGAATAAGAAATTTTAAAACAAAACGTGACAACAGTTGAAGGTGCTGAGAATGTGACCTATTCAAATAATTTTGACTTCGCAATTTTATGTAAATAACTGAGTCCATCTGTGTTTATACGTCCATGTTAAAATACCACAATTCCCGCTTGATTTTAAAAGTGACGTATGTCATGTCAGATTATAACTATAGAATAAGTCAATAGAGTTCACTTAATGTTTTTCGATATTGTATTGTAATGACCGTTGGCTATCAAGAATCTGCAAGAGTCAACATCTAGCCAAACCGTGTCATGAAATTGAACAATTCCAAAATAGTTTAACATGTATAAAACAGTGAAAAAACCGGCTGGTATCTTCAATAAGAGACAAATTTTACTGCTACATGATAAGCATAGTAAAGTAGTATTGGAAATAGAGGACAAACTTAAACAATGCGAGAAAGAATTACATTGCGAACTTATTACTCCAGATATTCCTAACTGCCTTAGACCCTTAGTAATACTTTTTGAGGTAAAACAAACCATGCGATCATTAAAAAATGGTAAAACGACAGGTTCTGATAAAATTCCAAGTGAGATATACAAACTTATAAATGTTTTAGCAGCAATGTTTTAAAGGCTATAACTTTTTTTTCAATATCATTTATACCAATGGACATCTACCTAACTGATGGTTTAATTCATTGTTTATAGCTCTACATAAGAAGACGACAGCAAAACGGATCCACCTACTCCGCTTCTACGTGTTCTCGGTCTTACTTCAAGGTTTCGAGTCGTGAACTCCGAGTAAAAATGATCTAAATCGCCTTGAGGCTTTAGAAATGTGGTACTATGTGTGGATTTTAAAATGTGGATTTTAAAAATTTCTTGAGTGAAGAAGATTCGAAACTCCACAATACGAGAACGTCTCAGCAAGACTACTGAGATTATAAAAAGCATCAAGAAGATAAAGCTGGAGTACTTGGCACATGTAATGAAAAAATATAGCTAAGATTGGTATTTTATTGATACAAGCATACTATTTAAGATGATAACAAATGTTCTTAAAGGACATGGTCCACAAAGAAGAAGGTTGTTGTTGATTGAGAATATATGGTTGGGTTTTTGACGCGAATCCAAGAAGGTTATCGTATATGACACTCTCGTGGAATATGCGTTGGTTGCCGAAGTTTGAAAGAATATACGTTATAAGGTGCTTTGGGTTTTATGAGGGGATAATCTGGTTTGTTCCTGTGATGTAAAATTTGCAGATACTGATGTTAAAATAGATATGTGGAAAGGATAGTCTGATGTAAGTTGGGTTTGGGTTCGTTTTAAGAGCTGGACCTTAAGTTTCTTAAGCAATTTTTGTTTAGCTTGAGTATTTATTGGGTTAATGCTGCACAGGTAAGCAGATTTTTTGTGCGAAATGACCGCAAGTGAGTCTAAATTCGATTTCGGGTAAATTCGCAAAAATTTAAAGGGATGTGCAAAAAAAATATATTTGGAGTCGTCTAGCCACAATCTATGCCGTTCTTTGGGTACTATGTCATATTTAAAGCTCAAATGCCGACACACATGTGGAGAAACTCAAATGTAGTACTAAAAACCTTGGCATACATATGGATATCTGATGGTGTCTAAGGTCTCACCTGTGTGCCAATACTGCAATTATCAGCTCATTGTCAAAAATATTATTTTAAACGACGGCCACGTGGCTTAAAAGATGACATAAATAAAAATTCATAAATCAATCCACACCGTCAGCTTTTACAAGTTATAATTTTTTTTATGAAATTTTAATATTTAGGAACTTATGTAATCTTTAGTGCAATATTCATTTTACATGTGTCATGGATAATGTAATCGAGATACATTAATTTAATAAAAAATTAACGTCCAACTTCAATGGTTTAGCACACTTAGGTTTTCCTTTGTCTCTATGCCAATTAAGCCTAGTTTTGACGTAATTAACGATAACCTAAAGAGATGATTTATATAGTAGTCTAAAAAATTAATTTACCTTGTTTTATCCATAATGTATACTGTCCAGATATGAACATAAATATAGCCATTCCAATGGCACTGGATATAATAGCAGCTCTTCTTGTGATATATTTTAATATAAAAATATTAGCTATTGTCAAAACCAATCGAATTACTCCAATTAGAGCTGATGCATAGTATGGGTTTATATTAGATCCTGCTTCCTGCAAATCAGAAAACTACTATACAAACGGTTCAAGATATTATACACTTTTAAGTAATTTATATATTGTATTTTGATGTGTAAGACTTGTACGTACTGTACATGCACATTTTATTAGTTGTGGATAACTTTGACAAATATATAAGCATCCTACAAAGACAAAACAGATCAAATGAACGAATTGTGCGAGGATGCAGATCTGTTTATCCTTACGCCTCGTCCTGATGCCTCAGTTTCGCGCGCCAGTCATAGGTCGCTGGTTCTTCTCTTGGGCAACAAGTTTTGTCCTTGGAGAAATAGGTTCACTTTTCTATACTTTTTTGAAGAACCGCCCAGAAAACTGCTTCCAATGGATATTAACTCGCCCCCTTGAATAACGCTAGGCCCCTAACGATTTCTTAAAGTTGAGAAATCGCTCCCTTGACCCTCGATGTATATGAAGGATCTGTTTACAGTGATTACAGTAGTAAGGTAGCTTACATTGCTTTTGCTTTACATGATTCTTTGAAGCTTATGTCTAGGAAGAAATGAGTATGATGTAAAGGACATACTTTAACAATAGATTCTATGAATGTTACAACTTAAGTTTTAAGTTTTACAGCGTCTTTACCTGGTAATATTTCGATTACTTTTGCCAGTTGCCATTTTAGACGAAAGCGTTGTCATCGATTAGGAGTACAAGATCATTAACTTTAATGTTTTCTTGGGGCAAAAAGAAACCATTTGTGCTTATTTTAGAGGATTTAAATTTAAATTTTAACGGATTTAGAAGATTTAAATAATCCCTAGACCAACATTTCCAGAATTGCTGCTGAATTTCGCTGCATTTCTGCCACAGTCACAAACTATTTTCGGATCTTGTCGGGATATCTTTCTCTGTATAGGAAGTCATGCTACCTCCGATCATAAAATGAGCGGTAGTTAGAAACGAGAAATCATTTGGACTGTCTGAGAATGGACAAAGGGGTCGTGAATTTAAAACTGCTTTTGAGCCAAAATAGTGGTTAATTCCTCGAATGTAAAAATATTATTTTCCATCATCCTTACCAAATGATACTTGCAGCTTTTTATAGCTGCTTCCCAAATTCCACCCTGATGAGGAGATTGAGGTGCAATGTACTTCAACTCAATTAATGTTGATGCTGCAAATTATTTTATGGTAGGCAGGACATCTGCTTCCATAAAAAAGCCGTAAAGCTCTTTGAACTGACTACGAGCTCCAAAAAAGTTGGACGCATTGTCCGAATAAACTATTTTAGGGATACCTCTGCATGAAATAAATGTTTTTAACGTTAGTAGGAATGCTTTAGTGCTGAGACTGGATACTAGCTCTATATGGACTTCCTTAGTAACGAGGCATACAAATACTTCTATATAATTCTTACAAATGGGTACACTTTGCAGTCTTGAAGATTTTATTTAAAATATCTTATGTGCTAAAGTAGTAACTTTAGCACACGAGACATCAAGCTTATGGTGTAGTAATCGCTGCATTTTCTTGCGTTTTTCTTTTTGCGGAGACAAATAAAAATCGATGTTAACCACTCTTTGGGTAATACCCCTGAACTATTAATTTGCTTCTAACTAACTAAACTAACAATGTGCTTCTCATCTAGAATTTGTAAGATTTCTATAGAAAGCATTTCTATAGAAAGTTTTTAATACGTGCAATATTTCTTCTTTTGTAATATATGGACCCATTTCTTCTGACGTAAGTTCTATGTGCTCCAGATCTCCTTTTCCATCATCGAACAGTTCGTTGATATATTCTGCCCATCTTTGTACTGTCTTGTCCGTCTGTGTTATAGTAGTCCCATGTCTATCCAGAAGTGTACCAGTGGGATTTTATTTTCTTAGTACTGCCAGTTTTTTAACTTTCTTATGTAGATTAAACAGATCATATTTATTTTGAGAGTCAAATTATGGGAAGCAATGAATGATCTCGGAATCCGACAAACACTAATAAAAGCAGTTAAAGCACTGTACAAAGAAAACAAAGTAGCTATTAAATGTGGAAATAAAGCCTACAATCCATTTAAGACGACAAAAGGACTTCTACAAGGCTCTGCTACGTCCCCTACTCTATTTAAAATATTCTTGGCAAAGACACTCAAACCATGGAGGAGAAAGTGCGAAGGAATGGGCATACCAGTAAGAGACGAATACCTATACACCTTAAGTTTTGTCGACGATCAAGTAGTCATCGCACAAGATGAAGAAAATCTCAGCTTTATGCTAAGAAAACTAGAAGAAGAATATAAAAACAACGGAATGGAAATAAACTTAGAGAAAACCGAATACCTAACAACAGAAAACAAGGATATAAGAAACCTAGAGATAGACGAGGGAAGACAAGTAAATGGAACAGATAAATTCAAGTATTTATGAACCATAATATCGAACCAGAGAACAACAGAAGAAGATATAAACAACAGACTAAGACAAACAAGAAACTGTATAAGACAACTAAATTCAGTGCTGTGGGATAAGAACATTACGATAAAGACAAAAAAGAGAATATATAATACCCTGACAAGAAGTATCCTGACATATGGGTCCGAAAACTGGACAATAAAGAAGAGAAATAGAGGTAGAAATGGAGTTCCTCTATATAGAAAAGAACCCTGCGACATGGAGACTGGAATGACAGGGAAAATTTTAAGAAAACGATTGAGTGAAGGAAGACAGTGAAAACTACGGAAATCCTTAGTAGTAGTAGTAGTATTTATTTTGAAGGTCTTCGATCTCTTTCCACTTCTTTTCAAAGTATTTTTCTTTGCATTTCTGTATTTATTGTTGTCTTTGATTTTAAACTTTCTCCGTTGTTCCAACATATTGAGTATCTCGTCATTCATCCATTCTTCTTTGCTCCTTGCGTAAGTCTTTGGTATTTCCTTACACGGTTCCAGTAGACAATGTTCTAGTCGATTCCAGTACCCGTCAATACTATTGGTGTTTGTGTTAGGTATACAAATTGTTAAAACTGACCATAATTCGGTATTTTGATTTTTGATGTTTCATAATTTTTGTAAAATTTAAAAGTACAGAAACTCAGTATGATGCTTCGCGCTTGCCTATAGTACCGTACTATACAGTACTTTTTTTTTTATTTCGATGTCCAACCTATTGAAAAATAGCCTCGAAAAACGTTACAATTGAATATTTAATGAATTTTCATTTTCAGAATGTTTAACGAAACTCTTGAATAGAATTTTTTTAGCTTAATGTAAGCATTTTACAAAAAAAATCGAAAGAACAAGTTTCGTATTGTTCTAAAGCTATTTTCTTGTGGCATTTTAAATTAATTACTATTTAACTGGGAATAAGCCACAATTAAAGATAAAAATACGTTTATTGACGTTTCAATTTCCACTTCGGAAATCGTTCTCAAAATACAAACAGTAAATTAAACAAATTTTGTATTTTGTTACATAGTGAAAAATTCTTCTAATAATTTAATTTTATCTGACTCATTTATATTGACAATTTAGACATACATTATGCATTTTAAAGTAGACGACTTTAAAATGATATTGCCAATATTGTTGAGTTGCGCTCCTGGGACGACTTTACTTATAAGATAGTTCATTCGATTACATGAAATCAACTTTAACTTGAGAATATCCGACAGAAAAAAATCATATCATATAATTCGTCTTTAAAAAGACAAACACATGACATGATGACAGTAAAATTCTCCTGTTAGTGATTCCATAGTAAATTATGAGGGAAAAAACCAGGAAAAAAACCTCATAATACTATCCCGACATGGTAAGTATTTGTTCGTGCACTTAGTTTACCTTCAATAAACACCAAAATTCTGATTTTATATGTTTCGTTATTTAAAAAACATAAATGATGTATCCTCTATATGTTACTGACTTACTAATACTGCTATTTTCTTATTAATAACTTCCTCTTTCAATATTGGTAACCAGATCCTACTACATTCTGCCGAGGAATTTGCGATATTTAAATTTAACTTGCATAATGTATGTCTGAATTGTCAATATAAATGAGTCAGATAAAATTAAATTATTAGAAGAATTTTTCACTATGTAACAAACAACAAAATTTGTTTAATTTACTGTTTGTATTTTGAGAACGATTTCCGAAGTGGAAATTGAAACGTCAATAAACGTATTTTTATCTTTAATTGTGGCTTATTCCCAGTTAAATAGTAATTAATAAGTTTCGTCTTAAAATAACCCAGATTATTTAAAAAAAGTAGTTTTAAGCGAAAAAACTAATTATTTATAATTTGTTTGAAAATTATTGTAAATAAATAGGTTGCCAATAAAAATTAAATCTTTTAAATATAATAATAATAATTTTAAACATAATAGCCTACTGCTTGTTTACTGAGTATGAAATCGACCTTTTTCGACAAAAGCCACCCGCCTAAAATAGTTTCTGATGACTTTCGTTGTAAAATAATTAAGGAAGCAGGAATTTAACAGTGTTGAACTTCCCTTTGAGTTTCCTATGTCCTGTTTGACGATTTACCAACCGGTATGATATTTTTACATAATATATAAAATTTTAAAAAATACCTCTATAAACGTTATGGAGTAAAACATTGTTATGAATATTCCTGAAAATTCTTGACAGAAAAACAAAGGAGTCATTATTAAAATTGGTTTGTATCCCGTTGGCTTTAAAAATTCTTTAGCAATTCCTAATATATTGTTCATTTTTTTACGCCTCCTCTCAATTTCCTCTTGTTGTTTCTTGAGCATTTTAAATTGAAGTTCTGCAAAAGATTCTTCCTACAAGAATATACTGTAATAAGAAATATGTTATAATATAGAAAATGATGATAGAAAAAAATTATTTGTTGAATTTGATAAAATTTAATTCTAGACTTTAAATTTTGATTACATCAATTTTAGACTTTAAAGAAACTATTCGTTTGTCACTTAATTAAATTAAAAATTACATTACCAATTGTAGGGCAGACCGGGGTTGATTGTCATAGATTCACCTATTACATTTTTTAAGATCAGTATTACCAAATACTATAGACTATAATACATCCAACTCCGACACAAAACTGGCAGCACGTTGCTTCTAGCGCCACGGCGGCTTGAGTTGATAACTACGTTTTGTCAACATAAACATACAAATTTTCTTTTTCTTATTTTTGTATTATTAGCTAATCTCGCTAAAATAGGGATGCTATGTCATGTTACATTAAATAAATTACCAGCGAGTGCAGCATACACAGCTAACTTTATTGAGAAAGTGGACACTTTATTTGACATTTTTAATTCTTCAAAATATAATGACAAGAAATTCAGAAAGCCAATTTCAATAAAAAATCATTATCATATTGATAAATTGGACGATTTAAAAGAATTTCTAAGTAATATCAGAGAATTGAACAGAAGAAGAGTTAATTCAACATGTATCAATGGATGGATATCAAATATTAATTCTCTGAAGTTGCTTTGGAATGATTTAAAGAGCAATGGGTTTCAATTTCTTTTTACAAAAAGGCTAACCCAAGACTGTATACAAAATTTATTTTCTATTATTAGGGCTAAGGGTTTTAATAATAATACACCTGACAGTGTGAAATTTAGGTGCAACTTGCGATCTGTCATGGCAAATCAGTTACTGCAACCATCAGCGGACAGCAACAGCGACATTGATGCTTGTTCATTTTTAATTCAGAAAGATGAAGTGCTCAAAAACCCAATTAAAGTATTGCTTAATAATCCTATCAAGCATTGCACCGAAAACGACATAAGTAATGACAATTACGATATGATCGAAAAAAATTCTGAGACTTATGTGGTAGGATGGGTTTGCAGTCAATTGCCTCACGAACAATGTAGAAATGCAGTATGTAACTCTTTTAATAATTATTCTTTAGAAAATACCTTAATAGAGTTAAAAAAATATGAGAAATCATCTAATTTTAAATTTCCAAAAGATGAAGCCAAGGAAGCTTCAGATAAAATTAATGAAATATTTAAAAGGTATTTTCAAAATTATATAAAAGAAAGCGTTGAGAATGTTAAATATAAATTGAAATTAAAATGTGACTTTCAAGAAACTCTCCAAAATGTATGTACAAATTGTTACAAGACTTTTATAGATAAATATTTTAATGTCTTAATAAAAGCTTATGTAAATAAAATTAACGACAGTAATAAGAAAAAATTATATAAATTAAAATATCAAATTAAAGAAAATAACTCACAATTAAATTTGTATTTTGATTTAATCTATAAATAAACTAATAAATTACACTTATTAAATAACAGGCTATTAAATGCATAATAGCCTGTTATTTAATTTAAATAATTTAATATAATTTAAATTTTATTTTTGTATTTGTATTTGTATTTTATTTTTGTGTAATTATAATTTTTGGGTAATTTAAAAAGTTTGTAGTTATCAACTCATACCATGAGATGGCGCTATTTTGTTTGCTGCCACAAAACTAATGGGAAATGTCAAGAGTTGTATATATTATAGTCTATAGTATTTGGTATTACTTGTTTTGAAAAGTGCGCATTAACGTAAGGTAAAGTGAACATTACTTCAATATTCTCTTTTTTTTTCTAGATCTTTAAACATATTCCAACAAACTCATATAAAATAATAAGAGTAACATAACCCCATAAATGGGGCAAATTGTCATAGCCCTTGGGGTAGGTTGGCATATAATTATAAAACATAACTACACTTGAAAAAGTTACAAAAGAACAGTAATCAATAACAGGTAGGTATATAAAATAATAGAAGTTGAAAAAATATAGGTAAATGTATTTAATAGAAAGGTATGAATTTAAACAACTTTATTTTTTTACATTAATTAAATAATAAAATAATAAATCTGTATTAAGAAATACTGTTAGTAAGGTACGTGTACCAAATAAGGCCCATCTAGCAATTATTGCCTTTTAATTTATGATACTTAGGAGATACGAGGTCAGGAAAAATGTGTAACATGCTTCAGTTCTAGTAATATAAAAATAAAATACAAAAAAAATTATTTCATAATTAGTATTATCATAATCAAATAAATTATTAACTTTTGAAGTAGGGCCTTATTAGGAACCCATCTTCCAAATAAGGCCCATACCTGGTCCCTAATATGGCCCACCCCAAAACTTTAATCTATGAAGCGTGTTAATGGCAATAAAACCAATGACAAGATTTACCAAATATTTAATAAACAATAATATAATTAACAAATGATATATTATCACTTCTCACACCATGGACATACGAAATTCGGCACTTTGTCTTTAAATGTCAACCCTACACATTCTTCATGTACATACTTTTTGCATTTTTTGCAAAGTCTCATGTCAGCTGTTCTGTCCTCACAGCATAAATGACAAAACCAGTTAACAGCTTCTAATGTTCCACTGCAGCTTGGAGCAGAACTGCCGTTTTCATTACTAAATTTCTCCAGATGTTTTTGTTTCACCGGAATTTTCTTTCCTTTCCCAACTGAAACCTTCTTACAGGCAATATTTACTTTGGCACTCTGCTACTTTTGTCTTTCAGCAAATAGTTCCTTAGTTACTACTTGCGCCTGATAGTTTAGTGCCTTCCGTCTAGGAGTCTGGAGTTTCTTTCTCAGCTCTAGAGTTTTCAAAATATCTTAGAAGGAACAGTCGAGTTCATCATGGTTATCGCTATCGTCATCATCGCCATTAAGACTGACATCACATGAACTATCCCTCACAGAAAATAGCTCATTTTCCGAAGAACTAGAACTGCTGGATTGGCGTCTCCTTTTTCGGGAACTCCTTTGTTCGGAAACTGTTGGAATATTTGATGCTTCAGCAGGTTCGAAACCCATTCGCATGTTTTCTTCTGGATCAGGACGCTGTAAGGAAAGGAGCGAATGCACAGTCAGGGATAGATTCTGGATCAAAAGGATAAATCCCAGTCGCTCGGAATCCAGACATGACATTAACTGGTGACGCAGCTTTTGGCCATACCTTGCTAAAGATTTTTCCAAATACCCGTCTACTAATTGCTCTATTTTCTTCTCCTTTATTAGTCGACCAATTTAATTGGACTTCGTCGTCCCAATAAGACTCAAATGGTTTAAATACTGACTTGTCCATAGGCTGAAGTTCATGAGTCGTATTGCTAGGCAAGCAGTACAATCTAATACTGTGACCTTCAGCAACGTCACAAATATCTGGATCTAAATGTGACGATGCTCCATCAAAAATTAACAGAACTTCTCCTGCAGGTTTGTACTTAGCAAAATGATGCAACCACTTGATAAAGGTCGATGTAGTCATTGAGCCCTTCCTATCTATCTAATTAGCCTTCTTCGGTCCATCTTTGGACATAGGCCTCCCCAATTCTTTTCCATTCTTCTCTGTCTGTCGCTACAGTCATCCACCTAGAGCCCACGTGCTTCTTGATATCATCTGCCCATCTCATTTGGGGCCTTCCTCAGCTTCGTTTATATTCCCACGGTCTCCAACTTACAAGAATTTTGTTCCATCGGTCTTCTTTTTGTCTTATATTGTGTTCGGCAAATCTCCATTTCAATTTTGCAACTTCTTGTCTAACATTCCTCACTTTTGTTTTCTCTATTATCCACACGTTTCTCTTTTTATCCATTAGTCTAATGAGAAGGGTGTAGGGTTGTGTTATAGAGGTAGTACCTTTTATTGGAACGCCCACATCGAGCGTCATAGACGGGAGATGGTTCTTGGTAACTGGTCCTCATAATACACCTAACTCTCACTTATGGCTCCACGTGCCACACCCCGGGCAACTGCATTGGTCTGCAGGCTAAACTAAGTGAGGGTAGCCAAACAGGAGTTTTCTGACCCGGAAAACTAGTACCTGCTTAGGGTCCTTTGTCCAGGGTCACGGATGAAGACCACAACGGTATCCACGACGGAGAAGAACATCTTCGGTACGGTGTGTATGGCGGAAGTGGCACTCCAATTTTGCGTTTCTCCCCAGAACAGCGTCTGACCCAGAATGGGCGGCTGATAACTCACTCACCAACCCGCCTGGCAAGCGTGGTGTTTTAACTGCCATTACCCCCCCCCCCTTTAATCATGGCGAATAATAAAACAAAAGAATATATATATATAATAGAAATTTTGAAAATTTTAAAAGTCAAAAGACGAGTTATTTTGATCATATATGATCACAAACTATAAATTTTTAAGCATAATAATTAAGAAAAATCAAAGGAAAAAAAAAGAGGGCAATATTGATGGCTCAAAAATGGAAGAGACTGGATTAAAGTCACAAACGTTTTGCCGAAATTGTAACTAACCTTCTATGAAGAAAATGGCACTCTGGAAGAAAAAAGAAGTAATGAATGTGATGTATGTGAAAAAGAACATAAGTATATGAAGCATATCATCGATTCAATACTCTGATATTATTGCTAAAAATGTATCTGTCGAAAGTAATTTGGATCTATATAGATAGTCTTTATACATTATTTATTTGTACAGGGTGTCTCAAATTGGTATGTTTTGTAGGGTATCGGTATATCGAAAACTAGACAAGATAGGAAAAACAGTAGTTAAAATATCATGACTTCTTTTTTTATTAAATCGACAAAATAGCCTATCGCCAAAATTGTGTTACTCACAAATACATATAGAAGTGTGAGAATCAAGCCAATTCCGTTATATATTTTTATCTAAGGAGGGTACATTTTATCCCTTATATTCGATGTAAAAAATAAATTATTAATAATAATAATAATACTAAGAAAAAAACTTTTGTACCATTCCAGGTGGTTGTGGTTGATTTTTATGAAAAAAATTTAAGGATTTTCTAGCTTGATCATATCTTCCCTTTAGCATTAACCATGGTGGACTTTCGTGTAGGAAGCTTATCCCTATGACAGGAATTATTACTACTAGGATCGTAATCCACGAAATAATCCACCAACTTACATAATATCCGGATATGTAGCCGAAAATTAATCCTAAAAAGAAAAAAATTATTAATATACGAATAAAATTTAGAATATTATTGTTTATCCCTCTCGAGCATAGTCCACATTTAAAGCATATCATTTCTAATCACATCCAGCTTTATTGATTTTAATCCAGTTCTTTGTATGTTCTTTTTTCTTTCTTTGTGTAATGTGAGGATTATCTTCTAAAATTTGGCATTCACGATATTCCTTCTTTGTTTACACTAAAAGGATTTTGTGTTTTTTATAGATTGGTAACCGCTAATACTTGGTTTTTCATCTTTTAGCATTCAGCAAAGTAATTTATTTTTTTACATAACCGTATTAACTATGTTGGCTCTGGAATAAACTGAGTAGCTCAGTTATGCTCATGTATTCAATTCAATAATGTATTGGTGGCAAATACCGCGGAAAAAACTGTGGAAATATATGTATATATGTTGACATAAAAAATTTATTGTTAGATAATCTTAATCACTCACCTAATGATGCATAGGATGGCGCTAATTGATTTAACGACATTCTTACTTTTGGGTGTGCTATTTCAGCTATATAAACAGATGCAGGATTGGTAGCCCAACCTAAAATATGACATTTTTTTATATAATTTAATAATATAAAATAATATTCCTCGTAGTGGCGAGATACAAGTAACAGTACACAGGCTGACAACACAGTTCTTATAGGAGTAATCCTGGGGCCTTAACACGAAAATGTAAGCGGGTGCGGGGTAATACTGTAGTTTAATTGCATTGGTAGGGTATTGGCCAAATATCGGGCTTGACGTGACTCTAATTGAAAAGGTATTTAAACATAAAATGTCCGATAAAAATATTCAGGTCATAATAATGAACAGATCTTCCAAACGTATCAAAAAAAAATTAAAGAAAAAATTCCAGTAGTTGGCTTTATTTTACTTCATTGTAAGTCTTTTTCAAAACAAAAATTGTACTGAAATTATGAAATATCCTGGGGTAAAATGATCAGAAAAGAGGTTTTCGGTGAGAATGAAAGAAAAGTTAAACATACTCCATCATAGACTTCAAAGTTTATTTAAGAGTAAATGAAGCAATTTACAGAATTAACTAGGCATCAAAATAAACTAGTTAATACTAGACGGCATAGAGAAATTGAACGAGATATTATACAGAACCCTGGAGTTTTAGAGACTACAAAAGTCCGTTAGAAGAAGAAAAGTTAGGCCGTTAAGAAAAAGAATAGTCTACACTAAATTTTAAATAATTTATTTATTAAAAATCCTTTGTAAAAGGTATATATTTAAAAACCCAAACGGGCTAAGTTAGACAGACAAAACGTTTTCGGAATCCATATTATATCATCAGTGTCTAGGAGTACATGAATGTAGCCACTAAATATATGGATAAAAACGCATTACATTTAGTTTACAAAATTTCTTATAATGATTTAAGATGTTAAAGTTACCGTTGGATTAGGTAACATGGCGACATTTAACATCTTAAATCATTGGGTGAATAATCGACTTGTACAGTGTTTATTTAGATTTTCCCGCAGCTATCCTTGCTGAGACCTCTTTTTCTATGTGGTTGTCAGCTGTGATTGGCCATCCTCAGGTATTTAAACTACTTTACTACTTCGAATCTGTGATCATTAATACTGATGTTCTTTCTAACTCTTGGTCTTAGATTTTTGGTTACTACCATGTATTTCGCCTTTTCTTCATTTATTCGGAGACTCAGACTACCTGTTATCTCCTCGAGGTGTGAAAACACCTCTCTCACGTCTCTTGTAGAATGCGTTCTACATCGGTCTATATCATCAGCATAGGCCAGCAACAGTTTTGATCATTGATCAGCAAATTCTCCTGTTAGCTCAGTCGATATTTTACTTATTGCATATTCTAAAGCAAAATTAAACAGCAACGGTGGTGGGGTCCCCCTGCCTAAGTCCTGAATTTATACCTAATGGCATCGATGTTCTGCTTCCTATCTTCACTTGCGCATACGAGTGTGTCAAGCACATTTTCATTTATTTAATTAATTTTCTTGGTATTCCCATTTCTTACATTGCTATCCAAAATTAGCTTATTTTTACGGAATCATATGCTTGTTGAAAATCTATGAAAATTTGGTGCACATCGCGGTTGAATTCCCAGTTTTTCTCTAATATATGTCGTATGGTAAATATCTGATCTATAGTTGATCTTCAAGCATAAAAACCGCATTGGTAGTCGCCTAGAATATCTTCCGAATATGGCGTGAGTCATTTTAGCAAGATAATTGATAGCACTTTATATGATGTGCTAATAAGCGATATGCCTTTAAAGTTTCCGAATTGTTTTTTGTTTCCTTTCTTATATATGGGAATTATAACGCTTCCATTCCATTCTCTAGGCATTTTCTGTTGTTGCCATACTATCAGAATCATGTCATTCAATTTTTGGTGTACAAGGTAAAAGGCTGGCGTATCTCCTCTTTAATATTGTCTTGGCAAAGGCAATCAAATAATTAAAGAGTAGAGTTAATGGAACTATTTTTAATAGATCGACGCAAATTCTCGCATTCGCTGATGATATAGTTATAGTAGACAGAAGTATAAGAGACATGGTGCAGTGTTTTGTATGGCTTGCGGACGCGACATGTGAATTAGGACTTGTAAACCTAGTAAACGAGGAAAACCAAATATGTGTTGGTTTTTAAAAACCCCCGAAATATTTAACTCATATTTAAATTTACAACAATACCTTTGAACAAGTCAAAGAATTCGCATATCTTGGATCGTTAGTAAACGCAAACACGACAAAAGCGATGAAACAAAAAGACGCATAGCAATAGCAAACAGTTCACGGTCTCCAGAAATATTTAAAAAATAAAAATATAAAACATGCAGTAAAACTCAATATATACAAGACCTTAATAAGACCGGTTTTGATATATGGGGCTGAAACGTGGACCTTATCTCAAAATGATGAAAGAGTTGTTGGTATTTTTGAGAGAAAAATTCTTAGAAAGATTTTTGGGACCGAACTTTGAACTATATCAATTATACACCGATCCAGATATTGTGAAATTCGTTAAAGTGCGGAGACTTCGATGGGCTGGAGATTAACATTTTCAAAACCAGAGGGCACAAGAAGTAGAGGACGACCACGAAGGAGATGGGATTATGATGTGGAAGACGACCTACAGATTATAAGGGTAATAAGATGGAGGGAAGTTGCCAGGAATCGACATGAGTGACGACTTCTTTGTGAGCAGGCCAAGATCCATAACGGATTGTCGAGCCAATTATGATGATGATGATGATAATCATCATCATCATAATTGATATAATTATGATGATCATAATAATCAATGAGAATAGATGTCCGGATGAACATGTACTACTTTATGATTGGTTAGTTGTTAAGGTGAATATATTTTCATATTATTTACTTATATAGAAGCACTCTAATATAACACAAATTTAACTTACATGCACCAATTCCTATAAGAACTCTGCCTATGATAATAGGAGTCATACTTTTGGACAAGGCAATTAATATCCATCCTGCGATGGTAGGTATAAGGCCAAGTTTGAGAGTATTAAGTCTTCCAAATCTGTCCATTAAGAAACCGCTTGTTGTGGATCCCAAGGGGCTTACCATAGTAAATACGCTAGCTAAAATTAATGGTAATTGGTGATAATTCACCAAATTATAATATTTATCATTCATAATAAAATTTATATCAAATATTTTTACAATATCTGTACACCTGTACATTACATATATTTATTAGATAATACTGTATATTATGTTTAGTGCCAATCTGCAGCTTATTAAGATTATTGTATATTGTATATTGTAATAAATAATAATTGTTTTAATATGAAAGATCCTTCTTAAAACGCTGAAGAGCGCCATTGGAATATAGCAGGAAAATGGGACTATGCTATGCTTTGTCTGTATATTATTGTCGCAGATCAACATTAGATGCAATTTTCATTATAATGCAGAAAGAAACAAAGGGTCAAATATTATTAATTGATCTTGAGAAAGCATATAATAGAGTTTCTTGAGAGGTTCTGTGATAGGCGCCCAATAAGAATGGAGTTCTGGGTGAGTATGTAAAATATGTGGGACATGTGTAAACAATGTGAGATATTAATAAATTTCATGTAAAAGTAGGATTGCTCAGTGCTTAGTCCGTATTTGTTATTATAGACAATTCAAAATAAAAACTGAAACGGTGTATAAGAGCGACACAAGCATACAAGTATATTAACAAAGTTTTTGGAGTGTTCATTTAAACATGAAGTTACTACAAATAAAATCCACAAAGAAAAAAGTTCATTTCTTGTAGTCTTCTGTAAAAATCCATTAGAAAAGGTATATTTATTTAAAAAAAAAATAATTTGGCGCTAAATCAAAGAATCTCTTCGGAAATATTCCATCTTCAGTGCTGCTACAAGGTATACATGTTTAAAGCTACTAAATGCATGGTTTAAAACTCTTTAAATATTATTAAATTGGTGATCTCAGAAGATGAACTTTATTTTGATCACCTCTGGTTGATGTAGTCAGAATGAAGATTCGAATTTACAATGAACGAATGAACTTCGGAATATAAGGTAAATATTTTATAGAGTCAGCAGAACTAAAATCTTAGTCTGAGGCCTCGCTCTCTTCTAAAAACCGTACAGTTATATTCTATTATAATTCACATTTTTTACGATAAGGTAATGAGCTATGATCGGATAAAGAGATAAACTAAAAGATCAGATAAACTGATGAAAAAGAAAATAAGAGAAGCTAGAGAAAGATGGCTAAGTGAGCAATGCCAGGAGTTGGAACAATTGGAGCGAAAATATGACTTTTTTAATGTACACAAAAAGATTAAAGAAATGACATGAAGGAGAAGAACAACACAGACAGGACAGATCAAAGATACAGATGGTATAATTATATAACAGATTTTGCAACAAAAAATAAACCGATGGACAGAATACATATCACAACTGTTTGATGACAAAGATAGACAAGAAATCTCAAACGAATATACAGATGATACAGGGCCTGATATAATCAGAGAATAAATAGAATATGCAATCAAACAAGCAAAAAGTAGTAAGGCCCCCGGTCCTGATGAAATTCCCGTAGAACTGCTCAAACTTATGGACGATGAATCTATTAAAATACTCCTAGATCTATTTAACACAATATATAAAACTGGAATAATACCTAGGGAATGGCTCCATTCGACCTTTATACTACTGCCAAAAAAGGCAAATACAAAGGAATGCAACGAATATCGTACGATAGCTTTGATGAGTCATGCTCTAAAACTGTTCTTAAAAATAATCCATAATAGGATCTATAGGAAATTAGACGTAGACATCAGTAACACTCAGATGGGATTCAGAAAAGGGCTGGGTACAAGGGAGGCTCTGTTTGCAATGAACGTTCTCTCACAGAGATGCTTAGACATGAACCAAGAAATTTACGCCTGCTTTATTGATTTCGAAAAGGCCTTTGACAAAGTACAACATGAACCACTAAGACAAGTTCTAATAAAGAAAAATATAGACAGCCGAGATATTCGAATTATATGCAATCTATATTGGAATCAAACAGCAAATGTCAAGGTTGAGGGCAGACTAACAGAAGAAATTCAAATCAGTCGAGGAGTCCGGCAGGGATGTATCTTATCGCCACTTTTATTTAATCTGTATATAGTGAAGCTATCTGTGAACAAGCACTCGAGGAAGAAGATCTTGGTCTGATAATAAATGGTGAGACGATCAACAATATAAGGTATGCTGACGATACAGTTCTCCTAACGGGAACGCTAGTAGAACTACAACATCTCGTTCAAAGTCTCAATATATACTGTGACAGTTACGGCTTGAAAATTAATTTGAAAAAAACTAAATTTATGGTAATCACAAAATCAAAGAACATCAGAGCTAATCTTGTAATAGACAATACAACGATTGAGCGTGTGCCCTGTTATAAATATCTAGGTGCTTGGATCACAGTCGATACTGATCAAACAAAAGAGATTAATGTAGAATAGAAATCGCTAGATCAGTCTTTAATAGAATGCGCAAACTCTTTTGCAATCGTGATATCAATATAAAGTTACGAATACGAATGCTGCGGGACACATGGAAAGAGGGACACGGGAAAGATGGAATACTTGGGACACATTGTGAGAGGTGAAAAGTACGAACTTTTAAGAAACATCAGGCAGGGCAAAATTAAGGACAAAAGACGTGTGGGAAAAAGAAAAATATGGTGGCTTCGTAATCTACGTGAATGGTTCGGGTGTAGTTTAATTGAACTTTTTAGGCGCGCTGCTAACAAAGTCGCAGTGGCCATGGTGATTTCCAATCTCCGCTAGGAGTGGCACGAGAAGAAGGATGAGCTATGGATGTAAAACTTGGATATTGACTTAAAAATCTGCAAACCACTTGAATATCTTTGAAAGAAAGATACTGAGATAAATAACCACTTGAATATCTTTGAAAGAAAGATACTGAGATAAATACCAGGCCCTATAAATAAGAACAACGGGTGGCGAAAATTAAACAATAGGCAGGCCTTGTATTTAGTATAGAAGAAAACCGGTTTCCAAAATAACTGTTTAATGCCAGAATATAAAGAATGTGTCTTCAACGGAAGACATCTATTAGAAGTCTGTGAAGTGATGGGAAGATGATGTGGATGAGGACATACAAGATCTTCTTGGCAGTCTATCGTAGAGGAGAATGGCTAGAGGCCGAAATGAAAGGAGATGTTTGCTGAAGGAGGCCAGGACTCTAATTTGACTATAGAGCCATAGGATGGATGAAATATTATCCATATTTAGAAGTATAATATTTTTTTATTGACATCCCAATTATAATTTACTAAAAATACAAGACTAACTAAACTAACAGACAAATTACCTGTTAAATTTTAAGAGTATAGGTCTGCTAATATATGTTTGCAAAATTGACCAGGCAAATATTGCTCCTAGTGCCGTGGTAAACGAAAAATACCGATATTATTTGTATTAGATATCTGTAGCAGTATTAAAAATTCAACAGTTGTAGCTTGGCATTTAATCTCTTAATTACAAAACTACAAAAACAGTCAAAAACTTACCCATAAAAGCATTTTGAGGTTTAGTAGATACAATACCACTACCAGGCACTTCCATCTGAGAAATGAGAACTGCTGAAAACGACATGGCAATTCCATATTGCACGTGATATCCAGTTGCTGTAAGAGCTGAGTAAATCTAAAGACGTAAACATTTGCTTTATTTTAACTAAAATGTATCATTTTTAGTAATAATTATATTTACTATTTACCGAAAATGGGCAAGAACACTTTACCAATTTTTTGGATCTTTTTTACGAGACTCATTGGTAGAAGTTTTAGTGTATATATGCAAACCAACCATACAGTTTAATGAAAAAATTGTAAGTAGGTGGTAGAAGGCAGCTAGTGCCTTAAGACTGCACCAGGTATAAAAACTGCAAACCGAGAGTTACTTACTTTAGAATCCTAGGGAAATTTTCATGGTCAGCTTTGAACCGCTCAACAGACTCAATAGCATTTAATTTTGACCTCAATACGCCATTTCAATACATTATAGAAAATTACAGTGTTAAGATAAACGAGCATAAAATACACATCAAAAACAGAAACTTCGACAAATCACAAATATGCAAAGGTGCATGGGACACAGAGGCATAACAGAGGCCCCCGCAGCATGAAGATTGTGGTGGCCTAATATATCAGGCCCCCATCTTGTCTGTAAAAATTGTTATATTATTTTATGCACCAAATGCAAAGTTTTAGCAAAAAATGTGAGGAGGGAAACCTAGGAGGTCTTCGTCATACAATACAATACATACCTGTAAGTTTAAATTAAGGAATGAAAATTTCTAAATAAATATATTCGTCAAATGCATCATTTTATATCTGATCCTCCCATAAACAGAAACTTCATTCTTTCCGGTGTCCTGATCTTTCATGATGACGACCATAAACTATAATGATTTGTACATGACTATTGAAAGGTTTGAGAATTGCAATTTTGCGAATTTTAGAACAATGTTTCTAGATCTAGAAATGCGTTTTGTTCACAATCAGTATTTCAATACGATATTTGGCAGTAGTTTCTTATATCCTTACCAGCGGCAACCGGCCAGGTAAAGTAGGTGAAGGTGAGGTTCACCAAAAAAATATAATTAAATTGAGACAAATAAATAAAAAAAAAGCAACATTATTATATCTAAATTCTGAAATTAATTATTTATTCTCTTTTATAATTACTTGACAGTCAGTAGGTAGGTACTTGACAGTCAAGTCATGACCTATGTCACTAGCCGTGTACGATTCAGGAATAGGTGAATATCATTTTTGACATGCGGAATTCATCTGCACAAACGTTCACGGTTGCCATGGTAACGTGACCTCAGCCTGTCGTTAGTGATAGCTGAGAAAACTGGCAAGTGCAGATCAATTGAAATATAAACTATACACTATCCGTCTTCACCTACTAGTTTAATGTGTATGTAGTATTCCTATTTTAAGGAAGTTTGTCTCAGCGACAATATTTTGAAATTTAGTCTATTATATAAATATTTTTTATAGAGTGTTACGATTTTAAATGTTATGGCGTATAGAACTGTAAATATTTTATGACTAATTCTTTTTTTATTGATTCTCGTAATTTGTAGGTCAAAATCTACCTGAGACACGTTGGGTTCCACTTCGCTATAAAAGCGACGAATAAGAGTTTTCTGGAACCGCACCGATACCAGTTTTTAGATCATTGCCGCTCTGTCTACGAGGGCCTCATATTTACCAGTCTATTCGATAGGGTTCCGTTATAATGAAGAAGGTCATCAATCTTTCTAGATAACGGAAGTTTATATATATAAACGAAACATTTTATTTGAAGGGGTCAGTCAGAAGATAAATTCGTGGCTCGGTATTTAAATGTACGAACGTAATAAATAGTTGTAGTTATTTAATAAATTGATAATAAATTATCGTGAGTTTTAATAAATTAGAATAAAGACAATAAATTAGGACTAACAAAACATTATAATAGTAAAGTTTATGTAGTGTATTTATTTTAGTCACAGTATTAGGTTTATTTGTTTAGCGCACTTTATTATAGGCCCATCGACTTAATCTTGTTTTGCAACAGAGCTTTAAGAAAATATCAAAAACTTCCTGTTGTAATAATCTTGATCCATCATTTACCTCTTCTTCTAGCTCAAAAGTGTTATCTTTTTTGGTGTTCTAATAGTTTTTCTAGATATTCTTTCCACGTTCTTATTTTATTCTGTTTGTCCAAGATGATTTTTCCGTCAGAATCAGTTATATTTTCATTCTGCCTTCGTCTTAGTTCCCCTGTGAGTTCTTTAACTTTCCTATGTACATTGTGAGTATCGTACTTTGATTGCAGAATCTTAATTTCTTCGCATTTTTCCCTTGCTTCTCTTTCCTTTGCTTTTCTGATTTTCGTTCTTATTAATATATTTATGATTTTTTCTTTGTCTAAGTCATTTTTGGCTTCTCTTCTCTCGACCATTAGTTTCAGGATCTCATCTGTCATCCATGATTTTTTCTTGATTAATCTACTTGTCTTTGTATAAACATTCTGTGTTTATCCTGCACGTGTTGCATCGTTTGTTCTTCGTTCGATTCATCTCTACGAGGCTTGGACTCTCATCCTGGTATCGAGGTCTTACAGTATACGTAGGTCGTATAATTGTGCTTTCCTTTTCTGAACTGTTTTGAGTTTGACTTGAAATACTCCTACCAGTGAAACGTGATATGTCTCCAAGTCTGCTCCAGAATAAGTCTTGACAGATGTAAAGCTGTTTCGGAATCTTTTATTTACTAAAATGTAGTCTATTTGATTCCTAATAATTTCCATTCATATTCATAGAATAATACTATGTAATGATGTAATGATTTATTAATTTTTGTTCTATTTTATTCTATATCAATAACAATAAATAAAACACATATAAGTTTTTTTACACAATTCGCATTTAGTAATTTTTTAAAATGAGCCCCATTTTCAATTCCGCGGGAAGGGGCGACGGAGTTTGTTATGCCCCTGATAGGACAATGTGGGACAATAAGACAAATTTGTTGTTATTTTTATATGAAACACTACTTCATAAAATAAAATTGCTTCATGTCAAAAGACTGATGGTTTGTACACATTAGTTAGTGTGATTTACTTATATGGGACGGTGATTGTCCCATATAAAATACAATAATAAAAACTATAATTGTTCATTAGATTTTCCCATAATTTTACAAAAATAAATTTTGTTTTGTAACAAAAATTTTTTAATTATATTTATAAACAAAATTGTTGTCCCACCAATGTGGGTTACTTTTTTTGGGGGATTAGTGTTTTCATATCCTCTAAAATTTTAAGTTACTGGACCTGATGATAACATACTTTAAGCCCCAAACCCGTTGGCCTCTCTTGTTCCCACCAATAAAAACTTAGTTTTAATTGGCTCTACTTTAGCCAACAGATAGAGTAAATTTATTGTTTTCTATAAAAAAAATGTATACGTATTTTGCTTTACCTGTGGCAATAAACATCTAAAGCTGTCACTTTCATATTGACTTATAGATTTTGCTCTAGTTGCTAATACTTCTTGTTCTTTTTCTTCCTCTTCCTCCTGAAGTTGCTCCTGAATATATCTAAAGAATCATTATAATACAGATAAATGTTAAATCCAAAAAGTGCTTCTACTTACGTCAGGCTTCCTATACTCGCTCTAAAAGCAATAAAAAGATATTTGTTTTATAACCTCTTATATATAATAATATTACCAACAAAATAAAATTAAACCTCATTATCAATAATCTTTATAGTTATTGAGGAGATATGTCGTGGAATGCAAATTTTAGATTCCCCATGTCTCTAATAACATCTTTATCAACGTCTGTTTTGCCTTGCAATTCTTAGAAGGCACAGATTAAAGCAAAAATCTGAATTTGGTTTCGAAAATTAGTTTACGGATTTTAATATCAGATGTCGCTATTTGCGTCTATACGAAGCCATGTTAGAGTTGCTTCCTAAGACAGAAAAGATTTATTTTCACGTTCAGAACGACTGTGAATAGCTGTTCTGACGAGCCCTATTAGGGCGAAATACGTATAAGCAGATACACAGACGCACTATACGTGAAATCAAATCTTGACTGTCTTCTTCTTTTTAATCTTTATAGTATTGACATTAAAATAAATCTCACAAATGAAATCTTCTAGTTTATAAAATCATTAATTTTGCTATGAATACAAAAAATTATAATCAAAAATAATCATTTGTATTTTAATAAAATTGTCGCAAATTTATTGGGTTTTTATCTCATTATTCATTTAAATTCGCTCTTTATTATTTCCATTTTTTATATTTGTATGCTTTAAAAACATTGCGAATGCTTGCTTCATCAAAGTTCTCAATTGTAATTTTTTGAAAGGGTTTTATGTCAAAAATAACACACTAAAAGTATAATGCAACTTACCCGATATCCATATTTATATTCGAAAACGTTGTCTACGATCCTAATTGTATCAGTTATTGTCAGGTCAAATCATATGCTTTAGCATCTAGAATCAAATTGAATAAAAAGTCTCTTTAATTTGGGTCACGCCTTCCTCCACCATTCTTTCTCTGAATCTGATATAAATTAAAATAGAATAAAACAGTTGTGTGATATTTATGTTTGTTTTATAATTTTAACTAAAGAATAGAATAGAATAGAATAGAATAGAAATATTCTTTATTGTCACTGAAAATTCTATAATTTTATGGACAAAGCTTACAAAAAGTCAATTCTATAATTTTATGGACAAAGCTTACAAAAAGTCAACAAAATAATAATACTAACTAAAATTTAGTAAAACTACCTAAATCATCAATATCACAAAATAAAACGTAATAAAACGTACAATCCATTGCAAACTTTAACAAAATTTCAAATGTGTAGTAGTCATGATTAGGTCTTGCTGGTAAAACATGTAGTTGTTTACAATTTAAGCAAACGGTTTCTAGAACCTATAAAGAGAGAACAGTAAAAAACCAGTAATTTTAGAAGTAGCTTCTGCAATGTGTTATTCTACTGAGGCTAAAAAGATACCGCATTGCTCTTTTTTGTAATTTAAAAATAACATCAGATTGGCCAACTGTACTAGAACCCCAAAAAGAAAGGCCATATCGAAGGTGAGACTCAAAGAAAGAAAAGAATGATATTTTGGGAGATATTAAATAGATTTCCTTCGAAACATATCTTATTGCATAGAAGGACCACTTAAGTTTTCTATATATAAAAATACCAAGACGTTAGCTAAGACGATAACAAAATCAATCAAATTGACCATGTAGTTATGGACGCAAGTTATTACAGCAATGTTATGAATGTACGTACCAGACGTGGAGTAAACATTGACTCCGATCACTTCCTGGTCCAGGCTAAACTAAGAGCACGAATCTCTAACGTAAAAAAGGTAAAGGAAGCAAAGAAGATAAATTCGAGGTGGAGAGACTACGAAACCCTGAGATAGTTAGAAAATTTGAACACAAACTTAAAGAAAAACTAGAAGACCAAATGAGTAGTTCTGTTGAAAATATAGATAATTACTGGAATGAGTGCGAAAATATCCTGAAAGAAGTAGCCACAACAGTTGTAGGAAAGAAGAAACAAGAAAGGAAGGGGACAGAATGGTATGATGCGGAATGCGCACAGGCAACTCAAAAAAAGAATCAGGCGTATAGGAAACTCCAAAATAGAAGGACAAGAGAAAATCAAGAGGAGTACAAACAGATAAACAAGCAGAGAAATAGATACTAAAACAAAAGAAAAAACGACATTTAGAAAACCAGCTACAGGAACTAGAAAGGCTCAATTCACAAAGCAAAGCGCGAAAATTTTATAAAAATTTGAAACACAACAGAAAAAAATTTAAACCTAGAATAACCATAATTGAAAGTAAGGAAGCCGAAATTATCAATGAGCCGGATCAAATAGTGGAGAGGTGTGGGAGAATTTTCGCTGAGAAATTAAATACAGGCAACCAAGAAGTGACTGACATAAATGACCACAGTGGAGATATAGACGATGAGAGGGAGAAAAATAATATACCAACAGAAGAAGAAGTTGTCAAGTCAATAAAAAGGTTAAAAAACAACAAATCCCTTGTAGAAGATAGTATACCCCTGAGCTGTTCAAGTATGGAACAAACGCCCTAAAAAATACATAATAAAACTTGGTGCATCCATTTGAAGAGAAGGAAAACTCCCAGACAGTTGAAATGTAGGTATTATAATACCTATTCATAGGAAAAGGGAAACTATCGATGCTTTACCCTCCTAAATACGGCTTACAAAGTACTGGCTTATATACTTTATGATCGTTTACTAGTATATACTGAAGAAAAAATAAGCAAATACCAATGTGGATTCCGAAAAGAAAGGTCAACAATTGATCAGATTTTCCTTCTCAGACAAACCTAAGAAAATACGTATGAATATGGAATTGATACCCATCACCTCTCCATAGATTTTAAAAGCGCAAATGCCATGGCATAACTAGATATTCCAAAGTCAAGGTACAAAACACAGTGTCAAGGTCTTTACAAACACATACTAGATTACGACAGTCTATCGTGTCTATTGTTTAACATCGCGCTAGAAAGAGCCATAGAGAAATCGGGCATAACAACCAGAGGTATGATCATCAATAGAAGTGTACAGATATTGGCCTACGCAGATGACATTGACATACTAACACGGACAAAAAGAGACCTGATACAGCCTTTTGAAACATTAGAAAAAGTCCGAAGACAATAGGACTGCAGGTTAACGTATCCAAAACAAAATACATGAAGGTCATGAACAGCACACAAATAGCGGCACCATAAGATCTGGTGACAGAAGCACACACATTCGAAGTGGAGTTTATATATCTTGGAACACAACTAAATAACAGCAACCTAGTAAGCGTAAAAATTAAGAGAAGAATATACCTGGCGAACAGAGCTTACTTTGGACTAAAGCAGTTCTTAACATCACACATAATTAGCAGAAAAACCAAGATACTAATATATGAAACTCTTATTAAACCTCTCCTGACATACGCGTCAGAGACATGGACTATGGTAAAAAGCGACGAAGAACTGTTAGGCCGCTATGAAAGACGAATACTTAGACACATATACGGAGGAGTACAAGAAAGCGGGATATGGCGCAGGCGCTACAATTTTGAGTTGTATCAATGCTATGAAAAATGCAACATCGTCCGGTCTATTAAAATTAATAGACTAAGGTGGCTAGGACACCTTGAAAGAATGGACACTGGAGACCCCAAAGACAGATATTATATCAAGAGCCAGTAGGAACCAGGAAGAGAGGCAGGTCAAGATCTAGATTCAAAACTCAAGTCGAAGATGACTTGAGGAATCTAGGGTCAGAAATTGGAAAGCCAGGGCGAAAGATAGGGGGAATGGAGACTAATTCTTGAACAGGCCAAGACCCACCCATGGTTGTAGAGCCAAAGATGATGATGATGATGAGGCGCACGGTCAGCTCGCAGCGAATAAATACCAATACGTACGTATAATCCATGTAGATTCAGAGATGCATATTACTTTATCATTATAAATAAAAATATTATTGCAGTTTATATATAAAATATTTGTTAAAAATGGTGAATTAATTTCTTTATAAGAGTTTAAAACAAAATTAAGCCATAAACGTTGGAAGTTTGGTTAATGTAAGTTATAGAACAATTCAAAACGAACATTTTAAGCTTTGGTAAATATTTCCGATGGGATATAAAAGTGTTTACACTTAACCCTGCCACCGCCCCCCCTCCCTTACCCGATCACCACGACTAGAACTTTACACGACTGAATCTATAAATACAGTTTTATTTTACATCGGTTTTTAGTTGCTGTTTTAAGGTTTATTTGAAATTAAATTGAAATTAAATTTGACCTGAATCCGGTTCTGTTTATTATATAAATTTTGATATGAACTGAATGTGATGCGTAACATATCTTCAATTTTTCAGATGATGACCATTGATATTTGATATTTATAGCATATTACATTGAATTCTACACTGGTATATTGTGATATAATTTGTTAGATAGTTTATTAGATTAGTTTGTTATATTAGTTTGTTAGTTTTAAATGATTTGAATATGATAGTACTCACCTACCACTAGTGTTCTGTTCGCATCTTTAATTTGACTGAGTAAGTTTTTTATATTAACTTAAGTGTTTGAACCAATCAATTTTAATTTGGAAAACAGACACGATTGATCTTCTGTTTTTCTGTAATGTTCAGATCCGGATTAGGTCACGATAACACCTTAATAATTTCTTTTATTTGCATACGTCATTTTCACTAAAAACGATATACTAATTTCTATACTATACAAAATGTTTTAAAAAGGTATGACATAAATTAAATCACTCATTCCGGGCACGAAATAAATTGATTGAATCCAACAACTTACCTTAGTACAAAAGTGTACACAAAAGAAGTTACAGTTACAGTTAAAGTTTTTTGCACTATCTCCAAAACTACTTGACATTTTGTAATAAAAATGGATAGGTTACTTTCTTGTTCTGAAAGCATTTTTCATACAGAACAAACAACAAAGTCGAAGCGCACAGAAAAATTTTAAGGGGGGTGTGCAAACCTAAATCCCCCCAAACTTTTAAGTACGTTCAAATCAAATGAATTTTGTTGCGTCACTAGTTTAACACATTATTTTTAA